CTAAACCCAACTGTAGCTGAAAAATCCTGCCTGAACCCAACTGTAGCCCACAAAATTCTGTCTAACCTGAATGTAGCCCACAAAATTCTGTCTGAACTTACTGTAGCCCACAAAATTCTGTCTGAATCTGACTGTAGCCCACGAAATTCTGTCTGAACCGACTGTAGCCCCACAAAATTCTGTCTGAACCCGACTGTAGCCCAAAAAATTCTGTGTGAACTCGATGGTAGCCAACAAAATTCTGTCTGAACCTGACTCTAGCCCACAAAACTCTGTTTGAATCTGACTGTAGCCCACAAAATTCTGTGAGCTTGAGTGTAGCCCCACAAAATTCTGTCTAAATCCGACTGTAGCCCAAAAAATTCTGTTTGAACTCGACGGTAGCCAACAAAATTCTTTCTGAACCCGACTGTAGCCCACAAAACTCTGTCTGAACTCGACAGTAGCCAACAAAATTCTTTCTGAACCCGACTGTAGCCCACAAAATTCTGTCTGAACCTGGCAGTAGCCCCCAAAATTTTGTCTTAACCTAACTGTAGCCCCACAAAATTCTGTCTGAACCCGAATGTAGCCCTCAAAATTCTGTCTCAACCAGACTGTAGCCCACAAAATTCAGTCTGAACCCGACAGTAGCCCACAAAATCCTGTCTAAACCTGACTGGAGCCCCACAAAATTCTGTTGAATCTGACTGTAGCCCCACAAAATTTTGTTGAATCTGACTGCAGCCCCACAAAATTCTGTCTGAACCCAACTGTAGCCCACAAAATTCTGTCTGAACCCAACTGTAGCCCACAAAATTCCGTCTGAAACCGACTGTAGCCCCCAAAATTCTATCTGAATCCGACTGTAGCCCACAAAATTCAGTCAGAAACCAAAGGTAGCCCACAAAATTCTGTCTGAACCAGACTGTAGCCCACAAAATTTTGTCTGAACCCAACTGTAGCCCATAAAATTTTGTCTGAACCTGACTGTAGCCCCCAAAATTCTGTCTGAAACCAAATGTAGCCCACACAATTCTGTCTGCACCAGACTGTAGCCCCACAGATTTCTGTCTAAACCCAACTGTAGCCCCCAAAATTCTGTCTGAACCTGACTGTAGCTCACAAAATTCTGTCTGAATCTAACTGTAGCCAACAAAATTCTGTCTGAACCGACTGTAGCCCACACAATTCTGTCTGAACTCGACGGTAGCCAACAAAGTTCTGTCAAAACCCGACTGTAGCCCCACAAAATTCTCTCTAAACCCAACTGTAGCTGAAAAATCCTGTCTGAACTGACTGTAGCCCACAAAATTCTGTCTGAACTCAACTGTAGCCCACAAAATTCTGTCTGAATCTGACTGTAGCCCACAAAATTCTTTCTGAACCCGACTGCAGCCCCCAAAATTCTGTCTGAACCAGGCTGTAGCCCACAAAACTCTGTCTGAATCTGACTGTAGCTCACAAAATTCTGTCTAAACCCAACTGGAGCCCCACAAAACTCTGTTGAATCTGACTGTAGCCCCACAAAATTTTATTGAATCTGACTGCAGCCCCACAAAATTCCTTCGGAACACGAATGTAGCCCACAAAATTCTGTCTGAATCTGACAGTAGCCCACAAAATTCTGTCTTAACCCGACTGTAGCCCTACAAAATTCTGCCTGAACTCAACGGTAGCCCACAAAATTCTGTCTGAACCCGAATGTAGCCCACAAGATTCTGTCTCAACCCCACTGTAGCCCATGAAATTCTTTCTGAACCTGACTCCAGCCCAAAAAATTCCATCTGAACCTGACTGTAGCCCCCAAAATTCTGTCTGAACTGACAGTAGCCCACAAAATACCTTCTTAACCCGACTGTAGCCCTACAAAATTCTGCCTGAACTCAACGGTAGCCCACAAAATTCTGCCTGAACTCAATGGTAGCCCACAAAATTCTGTCTAAACCTGAATGTAGCCCACAAGATTCTGTCTCAACCCGACTGTAGCCCATGAAATTCTTTCTGCACCCAACTGAAGCTCACAAAATTCTGTCTAAACCCGACTGGAGCCCCACAAAATTCTGTTAAATCTAACTGTAGCCCCACAAAATTTTGTTGAATCTGACGGCAGCCCCACAAAATTCCTTCTGAACCCAATTGTAGCCCCACAAAATTCCATCTGAACCCGGCTGTAGCCCACAAAGTTCTGTCAAAACCCGACTGTAGCCCCACAAAATTCTCTCTAAACCCAACTGTAGCTGAAAAATCCTGCCTGAACCCAACTGTAGCCCACAAAATCCTGCCTGAACCCAACTGTAGCCCACAAAATTCTGTCTGAACCTGACTATAGCCCACAAAATTCTGTCTGAACTGACGGCAGCCCACAAAATTCTGTCTGAACCCGAATGCAGCCCAGAAAAGTCTGTCTGAACTGACTTTTGCCCACAAAATTCTGTCTGAACTGACTGTTGCCCACAAAATTCTATCTGAACCCGACTGTAGCCCACCAAATTCTGTCTGAATCTGACTGTAGCCCACAAAATTCTGTGTAAGCTCGAGTGTAGCCCCGCAAAATTCTGTCTAAACCCGACTGTAGCCCACAAAATTCTGTTTGAACTTGACAGTAGGTGACAAAATTCTGTCTGAACTCGACGGTAGCCAACAAAATTCTTTCTGAACCCAACTGTATCCCACAAAATTCTGTCTGAACTCGATGGTAGCCAACAAAATTCTGTGAACCCGACTGTAGCCCTCAATATTCTGTCTGAACCCAACAGTAGCCCACAAAATACCTTCTTAACCCTACTCTAGCCCCACAGAATTCTGTCTAAACCGACTGTAGCCCCCAAAATTCTGTCTGAGCTGACTGTAGCCCAAAAAATTCCATCTGAAACTGACTGTAGCCCCCAAAATTCTGTCTGAACCAGGCTGTAGCCCACAAAACTCTGTCTGAATCTGACTGTAGCTCACAAAATTCTGTCTAAACCCAACTGGAGCCCCACAAAATTCTGTTGAATCTGACTGTAGCCCCACAAAATTTTGTTGAATCTGACTGCAGCCCCACAAAATTCCTTCTGAACCCGATTGTAGCCCCACAATATTCTGTCTGAACACGAATGTAGCCCAGAAAATTCTGCCTGAACCCAACTGTAGCCCACAAAATTCTTTCTGAACCTGACTCCAGCCCAAAAAATTCCATCTGAACCTGACTGTAGCCAACAAAATTCTGTCTGAATCTGACAGTAGCCCACAAAATACCTTCTTAACCCGACTGTAGCCCTACAAAATTCTGCCTGAACTCAACGGTAGCCCACAAAATTCTGTCTAAACCCGAATGTAGCCCACAAGATTCTGTCTCAACCCGACTGTAGCCCATGAAATTCTTTCTGCACCCAACTGAAACTCACAAAATTCTGTCTGAACCCGATTGTAGCCCCACAAAATTCTGTCTGAACACGAATGTAGCCCACAAAATTCTGCCTGAACCCGACTGTAGCCCACGAAATTCTTTCTGAACCTGACTCCAGCCCAAAAAATTCCATCTGAACCTGACTGTAGCCCCCAAAATTCTGTCTGAATCTGACAGTAGCCCACAAAATACCTTCTTAACCCGACTGTAGCCCTACAAAATTCTGCCTGAACTCAATGGTAGCCCACAAAATTCTGCCTGAACTCAATGGTAGCCCACAAGATTCTGTCTCAACCCAACTGTAGCCCAAAAAATTCTTTCTGCACCCAACTGAAGCTCACAAAAGTCTGTCTAAACCCGACTGGAACCCCACAAAATTCTGTTAAATCTAACTGTAGCCCCACAAAATTTTGTTGAATCTGACGGCAGCCCCACAAAATTCCTTCTGAACCCAATTGTAGACCCACAAAATTCCATCTGAACCCGGCTGTAGCCCCACAAAGTTCTGTCAGAACCCGACTGTAGCCCCACAACATTCTCTCTAAACCGAACTGTAGCTGAAAAATCCTGCCTGAACCCAACTGTAGCCCACAAAATTCTGTCTGAACTGACAGCAGCCCACAAAATTCTGTCTGAACTGACGGCAGCCCACAAAATTCTGTCTGAACTGACTGTTGCCCACAAAATTCTGTCTGAACTGACTGTTGCCCACAAAATTCTGTCTGAACTGACTGTAGCCCACAAAATTCTGTCTGAACTGACTGTAGCCCACAAAATTCTATCTGAACCCGACTGTAGCCCCGCAAATTCTGTCTGAATCTGACTGTAGCCCCACAAAATTCTGTGTAAGCTCGAGTGTAGCCCCGCAAAATTCTGTCTAAACCCGACTGTAGCCCACAAAATTCTGTTTGAACTTGACAGTAGGTGACAAAATTCTGTCTGAACTCGACGGTAGCCAACAAAATTCTTTCTGAACCCAACTGTATCCCACAAAATTCTGTCTGAACTCGATGGTAGCCAACAAAATTCTGTCTGAACCCGACTGTAGCCCTCAATATTCTGTCTGAACCCAACAGTAGCCCACAAAATACCTTCTTAACCCTACTCTAGCCCCACAGAATTCTGTCTAAACCGACTGTAGCCCCCAAAATTCTGTCTGAGCTGACTGTAGCCCAGAAAATTCTGTCTCAACTGACTGTAGCCAACAAAATTCTGTTTGAACCGACTGTAGCCCCATAAATTTCGGTCTAAACCCAACTGTAGCCCCACAAAATTCTGTTTGAACCCGACTGTAGTCCACAAAATTCTATCTGAATCCGACTGTAGCCCCCAAAATTTTGTCTGAATCTGACTGTACCCCCAAAATTCTGTCTGAACCCGACTGTAACAAAATTCGACTTCGTAAAGTATTGACATGTATTCAGAATCATCCTCTTGTGAGTTTTAGTTCAGTTTAGTTTTAGTTCAGTAGTGTTCAAATTGTTGTTTTGATGATCTTAATTCTGACGTTTGAAACTAAAACTAAAGTACAGGAAGCTTCAGAGCAGGCAGGACTGAATCAAGCCTGCTCAGTCTGTGTGTGTGTGTGTGTGTGTGTGTGTGTGTGTGTGTGTGTGTGTGTGTAATGAAGGTGTGGATCGGCTTTATCTGGGATTGGGACGTAATCAGGATCAGGACAAAAATACCTGAAGGAAATGGAGGAGGAGGACACATCTACTGCAGTGAGGTTACCTGCTGTAATAGAGTTATTACTGCTGCTCACATATAGTGTTTCACATCGTATTAGTTCTATTAAATTGTATTTTTTCAAGACTATTACTGTTATCAATGCTGTTTCATTTTTTCTATTAGGTCCTGCATTTGATTAGTGTTTAGATGTTTGCTGGGTGATCTGTGCATTACAGCATTTATCACAGTTTGGTGTTGTGCAGTTTAGGACGCACTGCTGTACAGTTTGTGTGGATTCAACACTGCTTTGTTAAGTCTGTCAGTTTATTACACAATATTAATTTACAGTATATTATAGCTGTATATAACAGTGTTACAGCGCAGAGATTCAGATAAGTACAGTTTTATTTCAGTCAGTCTGTTTATTTGTGTTGTTTTATTATGTGTGTTTGCTGTTCATTTAGCCAACATCTCTCACAAAGTCTTTCTTTTGGTGCTTTAGATTGTTTAACAGCTCACATGACCTACTGCCCTCTTTAACACACACACACACACACACACTTCTCTGTAAATCAGCTTACGATCTAGTTCGTACAATGTTGTAAGAGTGAATTGACAAATGAATATTTGAAATTGCTAGTTATATATTAGAAACACCCACCTTGTGCTTCCACTAACTGGCCACTTTATTATAAACAACCACCTTGTGCTTCCACTCACTGGCCATTTTATTAGAAACAACCACCTTGTGCTTCCACTCGTTGACCACTTTATTAGAAACACCCACCTTGTGCTTCCACTAACTGGCCACTTTATGGGAATTACTGACCCTGTGCTTTCGCTTAATGGCCACTTTATTAGAAATACCCACCCTGTGCTTCCACTAACTGACCACTTTATCAGAAACACCCACCCTGTGCTTCCACTAACTGGACACTTTACTAGAAACACCCACCTTGTGCTTCCACTAACTGGCCACTTTATGGGAATTACTGACCCTGTGCTTTCGCTTAATGGCCACTTTATTAGAAATACCCACCCTGTGCTTCCACTAACTGACCACTTTATTAGAAACACGCACCCTGTGCTTCCACTAACTGGACACTTTACTAGAAACACCCACCTTGTGTGGGTGTTCAGTTACAAACTGCAGTCTGTCTGTTGCTGTACAGTTTATCAGCTCTACTACATTAATCACTGGTCAGTTTCTGACCGCAGGGCTGCTGTTGTGAACACTGTAATTAGTGAACGGTGGTGAAATTAGAAAATGTGTGATGCTGAATCCTACAGAATCATAACTGAACTGAACTGGAGTTCAAACACTGCGTTTTCTACAGCTTGGGGAGAGAGCAGTCGTAGTCTAAGCACTGTTAGCCTGTGGCGTCACCTTATCGCCTTGGTGACGAGGCTGCTCTGCTGGCTGTCTCCACATTAGAGATGAGTGACGGCTGTGATAATGAGAAACGTAAAGCAGATTAAAGGCTGTGTGTGTCTGTTTGAGGACTGTAAGTGTTTATTACTGTAAACATCTTAAATAGTAGGTAATACTGTTTAATGATGTAATAAATGGTGTAAGAGTGCCTGCCATATAACATAACTATTTCCTCATCTGAATGGAAACTCTGTAGTTGAAAGTCTAGATTAACACAACATAATAGTTTGATTGGGTTCGAACATACTAATAAAGCAGTAGCATTGAAGTCAGTCACATAACAATTAAACAGTTAAACATTTCACGAGAAAACCATAACCAGAAAACAAACTTCTCTCACCACTGCCCACTAAAGACATCATTAACGAACATCAAATAAACATCTCCCCACGCCGCCCTCTAAAGGCATCATTAACGAACATCAAATAAACAAACGTCGCTCGCCGCTACCCTCTAAAGGTGTCATTAACAAACATCGAATAAACAAACGCCACTCACTGCCGCCCTCTAAAGGCGTCATTAACAAACATTGAATAAACAAACGTCGCTCGCCGCCCTCTAAAGGTGTCATTAACAAACATCGAATAAACAAACGCCGCTCGCTGCCGCCCTCTAAAGGTGTCATTAACAAACATCGAATAAACAAACGCCGCTCGCTGCCGCCCTCTAAAGGCGTCATTAACAAACATTGAAGAAACAAACGTCGCTCGCCGCCCTCTAAAGGCATCATTAACAAACATTGAATAAACAAACGCCGCTCGCCGCCCCATCATTAACAAACATCGAATAAACAAACGTCACTCACCGCCGCCCTCTAAAGGCATCATTAAGGAACATCGAATAAACAAACGTCACTCGCCGCTGCCCTCTAAAGGCATCATTAACGAACATCGAATAAACAAACATCACTCGCCGCTGCCCTCTAAAGCTGTCATTAACAAACATCGAATAAACAAACGTTGCTCGCCGCCACCCTCTAAAGGCGTCATTAACAAACATTGAATAAACAAACGCCACTCGCCGCCCCGTCATTAACAAACATCAAATAAACAAACGTCGCTCATTGCCACCCTCTAAAGGCGCAATTAACAAACGTCAAATGAACAAACGTTGCTCACCACTGCCCTCTAAAGGTGTCACTAACAAAGGTCAACGGAATACACGTCGCTCACCACCGCCCTCTAAAGGTGTCACTAACAAAGGTCAAATAAACAAATGCTGCTCGCCGCCCCCATCATTAACAAACATCGAATAAACAAACGTCGCTCATTGCCACCCTCTAAAGGCGCAATTAATAAACGTCAAATGAACAAACATCACTCACCACCGCCCTCTAAAGGTGTCACTAACAAACGTTAAATAAACAAACGTCGCTCACTGCCACCCTCTAAAGGCATCATTGCACCTTTTTGTTGTTTAGCGAAATCCATGATGTTTCAGTAAATGTACTGACTGCTTTCTCCGTTTCTGAAAAAATGCACCCAGTTCATGTTGTGTTACACCGTAAAGATCTGATTGTGAAAGCTGACAACTGTGGAAATAATTGTGATGAGCTGAAATGGTGATCAGGTGATTATGTAATAACAGTGACTCGGCTGGACAGTAATATGTTTTGCAAACTGCTGAGCTGCTGAGTTGTGCTGAGAGTTGGTTTCACTGGGTGCGAGACAGAGAGACAGAGACAGAGAGAGAGAGAACGTGTGTGTGTGTGTGTGTGTGTGTGTGTGTGTGTGTGTGGTGGTCCCAGCAGTGCTGCTGTTAGGAAGCTGTTTACCCTCTATATCTGTCTCCACTGACGTCTGCTCTCTCAACAATGTCATCCAATTTCCTGTTTTTCACTTCAGTGGAAAGCCACCGCTGTAGCGTATACCACCATACACTCTGTGTGTCTGTGTGTGTGTGTGTGTGTGTGTGTGTGTGTGTGTGTGTGTGAGAGAGAGTGTGTGAGAGAGTGTGAGGGATGTATAGGAGCGGATGCAGTAGAAAGACAGGATGCAGAGTGTAAGGGTGTAGAGCAGTGCAGCCGCTCACTTCAGTGTCTGATTCTGAATCTGATTCTGATTTTGAGGCTGATTCTTAATTTTATTCAGTCTGATTTTGATTCTGATACAAATTCTAATTCTATTCTGACCCCAATTCTGAGTCTGATTCTGAGTTTGAGTCTGACTGATGAATCAATTTGATTATGATTCTTTTGAAAATGATTAATGGAATTTCACTATGATTCCATTCAAATACATACATCTTTTACAATTATTCTACATTTATGTAAAAAAATAAATCCCAATAAACGCCTCCAGTTTATTGCCCTTCCCTCCCTCCCTCTCTTATTCACTTGGCTGAGGCGTGTGTGTGAAATTTGCTTCTTTGCCTCTTTAGCTTTAGCACTGGCGCTATGAGGTGTTTAGTTTGAGTGTGTTCTCTTTTAAGGAGAAAGGCAGAATGTACACGAGTCTGAGGACCTAGTTTGAGGCGCAAGTCTAAGAAGCGAGTCTGAGGAGCGAGTTTTTAGGAGTGAGTTTGAGGAGCGAGTCTGAGGAGCAAGTTTTTAGGAGCGAGTCTGAAGACCAAGTCTGAAGCATGAGTCTGAGGAGCTAGTTTCAGGAGCAGTTCTGCGGAGCTAGTTTGAGGAGTGAGTTTGAGGAGCGAGTCTGAGGAATGATGTTGAAGAGTGAGTCTGAGGAGTGAGTCTGAGGAGCAAGTCTGAGGAATAATGTTGAGTGAATCGGAGGAGCGAATTTGAGGAGCGAGTCTGAGGGTCTAATTTTAGGAGCGAGTCTGAGGAGCGAGTTTTTAGAAGTGAGTTTGTGGAGCGAGTCTGAGGAGCATGTTTTTAGGACCGAGTCTGAAGACCGAGTCTGAGGAGTGAGTATGAGGAATGATGTTGAGGAGTGAGTCTGAGGAACAAGCCTGAGGAATGATGTTGAGAAGCTAGTTTGAGGAACGATGTTCAGGAGTGAGTTTGAGGAGTGAGTCTGAGGGGCTAATTTTAGAAGCGTGTCTGAGGAGCAATGTTCATGAGCACGTCTGAGGAGCGATGTTCAGGAGTGAGTTTGAGGAGTGAGTCTGAGGGGCTAATTTGAGGAGCAAGTCTGAGGAGCAAGTTTTTAGGAGCGAGTCTGAGGACCAAGTCTGAAGCATGAGTCTAAGGAGCTAGTTTGAGGAGCATGTCTGCGGAGCGAGTTTGAGGAGTGAGTTTGTGGAGCGAGTCTGAGGAGCATGTTTTTAGGACCGAGTCTGAAGACCAAGTCTGAGGAGCATGTTTTTAGGACCGAGTCTGAAGACCGAGTCTGAGGAGCATGTTTTTAGGAGCGAGTCTGAGGAGCGAGTCTTAGGAATGATGCTGAGGAGCGAGCCTGAGAAGTGATGTTGAGGAGTCTGAGGAATGATGTTGAGGAGCGAGTCTGAGGAGTGAGCCTGAGAAATGATGTTGAGGGGAGAGTTTGAGGAGCGAGTCTGCGAAGCTAGTTTGAGGAACGATGTTCAGGAGTGAGTTTGAGGAGTGAGTCTGAGGGGCTAATTTTAGAAGCAAGTCTGAGGAGCGAGTTTTTAGAAGTGAGTTTGTGGAGCTAGTCTGAGGAGCATGTTTTTAGAAGTGAGTTTGAGGAGCAAGTCTGAGGAGCATGTTTTTAGGACTGAGTCTGAAGACCGAGTCTGAGGAATGATGTTAAGGAGCGAGTCTGAGGAGCAAGCCTGAGAAATGATGTTAAGGAGTGAGTTTGAGGAGCGAGTCTGAGAAGCTAGTTTGAGGAACGATGTTCAGGAGTGAGTTTGAGGAGTGAGTCTGAGGGGCTAATTTTAGAAGCATGTCTGAGGAGCGATGTTCAGGAGCAAGTCTGAGGAGTGAGTTTGAGGAGTGAGTCTCAGGGGCTAATTGGAGGAGCCAGTCTGAGGAGCGATGTTCAGGAGCAAGTCTGAGGGACTAATTTGAGGAGCGAGTCTGAGGAGCAAGTTTTTAGGAGCGAGGCTGAAGACCAAGTCTGAAGTATGAGTCTGAGGAGCAAGTCTGCGGAGCTAGTTTGAGGAGTGAGTTTGAGGAATGATGTAGAGGAGCGAGTCTGAGGAGTGAGTCTGAGGAATATTGTTGAGGAGTGAATCGGAGGAGCGAGTTTGAGGAGCGAGTCTGCGAAGCTAGTTTGAGGAACGATGTTCAGAAGTGAGTTTGAGGACTGAGTCTGAGGGGCTAATTTTAGGAGCGAGTCTGAGGAGCAAGTTTTTAGAAGTGAGTTTGAGGAGCGATGTTCAGGAGCAAGTCTGAGGAGTGAGTTTGAGGAGTGAGTTTTAGGGGCTAATTGGAGGAGCCAGTCTGAGGAGCAATGTTCAGGAGTGAGTTTGAGGAGTGAGTCTGAGGGGCTAATTTGAGGAGCGAGTCTGAGGAGCAAGTTTTCAGAAATGAGGTTGAGGAGCGAGTCTGAGGAGCTAGTTTGAAGAGCCATGTTGAGGAGATAGTTTGAGGGGCTAGTCTGGGGAGCGAGTCTGAAAAGCTGGTCTGAGGAGCGAGTCTGAGGAGCAAGTCTGAGAAGCTGATGGAAGGTGCAGGTGGTTTGTGTCAGTAATGCTCTGTCTGGCTGCTCTCTCTCCTCAGCAGCTTCTCTTCTTCCTGGAATGCAGTTATTCGTGTTTGTGTGATTTCTGACGTGTCCATTATTCATGAAATACAGAGCCACTATCATGCTGAGTTTTTGGATCTGTTCGCTGTGAGTTCAGTGATGATGTCCATGATTTTTTTCTTCCTTTTTTCAAAATAAAAGTCCCAGTATGTCAGTGTGGGTGTCACTGTTTTAGGAAGATTTTTATATATTTATATATACTGTACATCTATCATCATTTCACAGATTACACCAGTATAAACAGTATAAAAATGAGTAAACTTCTTAAAGTTCACAATTTAGTAGTTAAACAGAGTTGTTCAGAGTTGTGTTTGTGAAATGCTCTGTTCTAGAGAAACTTACCGAGTCAGAATTGTTCACAGTGGTGGTGATAGAAACCAGATGTCTATCTCTAAAAGCTCCCTCACAGAAAGTTATTACATGAAATGGTTATGAATGCACTGCCTGTTGACTGATACATTGTTTTATGATAGTTTGAGAACTTAAACTCCATTCATGGTGGAGGGATACATGCAGGGCGCTGTGAGGCAAAATAGTCCCCAAAGAAAACGAATTAAAAATTATTTCAGATTTTGCACTTTTTTCCATCGTCAACATTCCATATAAAACTCAGAAGACATGTGTAGGTTAATTGGTGGTTTTGGATAGTAAATAAAATGTCTTTATTTGTGTTGTAGTCATGGTGACCCCTGGTTCCTATCACCACCACTGTAAAGAAATCTGAGCCATTTTACACCAAACCGCTCTGAATCTCTCTGTTTACTTCTCACATACTCAATTATGTGGGAATTTTTGGTGGAATTGCCCCCTAAATTGAGTATTTAAATACTAAAGTGTGATTCCTGAAGCTCTATATAACAGTCTATAAGTAATATAAGTATATAAGTAATGTATTAATTCTGCAAGTCACCATAAGTAGGTAATATATAAACAGAGATGAGGCTGCTGAGGGTTGTTCAGATGTCCAGCAGCCTGATGGTCTGAGGAAGAGAGCAAATATTTGGAACCTCTGGCTGATTGAGCTCTAAATATAGACATGAGGTCAATCACATAATCAATCACAGTTTGACTTTTAATCTCCTTTCTGTGTGATCAGCTCGAGCTACACTTACTTCTGTTTGCTGTTCTGTCAAAAAATGACAAAAACAGCAAAAATGTAAAGGGTAATTTCTGTAAACACAATCTAAATTTATTGACACTGATGTGGTAAAGATTTAAAGTTATGCACTTTTCACAGTTCCTCAACTCGTCTCAATAAAACTACATCGTGATGTTGTTGTAATTGGTGATAACTGTGCCCATGTAAAGCTTAAAGGTCAGTTGAGTTTTTCTGCTGTAGTTATAGTTGCGGCGTGTCTGACTGCATCCATAGAGATCTGAATCTGATCTGAACGGTGTTCTGTGTGTAGTTTGGGTGTGCTGAGTGTATTTCAGGTGTTCTGTGTGTAGTTTGGGTGTGCTGAGTGTATTTCAGTTGTTCTGTGTGTAATTTGGGTGTACTCTGTGTATTTTAGGTGTTCTGTGTGTAGTTTGAGTGTACTCTGTGTATTTCAGGTGTTCTGTGTGTAGTTTGAGTGTGCTCTGTGTATTTCAGGTGTTCTGTGTGTAGTTTGAGTGTACTCTGTATTTCAGGTGTTCTGTGTGTAGTTTGAGTGTACTTTGTGTATTTCAGGTGTTCTGTGTGTATTTCAGGTGTTCTGTGTGTAGTTGGGGGATTCTGATGTGTTTATAAGTGCTGCACTGCTGCAGATCTGACAGCTTGTAAATATCCAATTTCAAAACCATCCACTTCAGTTCTGATTCTTTAGGAAACTGTTCAGTGCAGCATAGTTTCAGCAAGTTTGGTTAAATTTAAATCCATTTTAAAAATACACTAAATACACTGTATAAGTGATTGACACAGTGATGGAAAACAGAAAACAGCAACATAGTTGATTTATATTTGCCTGTTTGTTTGTTTATTTATTTAGTTTTGTGTTTTTATTTGAAATAATTCAGAGAGTTTTATTTTGGCCAAAAATAGTGCATACTTTTATTGAATTGTTCAGTATTTACTATGAATTATTCAGTATCCACTATGAATTATTCAGTATCCACTATGAATTATTCAGTATCCAGTTTGGATTATTCAGTATCCAGTTTGGATTATTCAGTATCCAGTTTGAATTATTCAGTATCCAGTTTGAATTATTCAGTATCTACTATAAATTACTCAGTATCCACTATGAATTATTCTATATGTACTATGAATTATTTAGTATCTACTAGAAATTATTCAGCATCTACTTTGAATTATTCAGTATCCACTATGAATTATTCAGCATCTACTATGAATTTTTCAGCATCTACTATGAATTATTCAGTATCTACTATGAAATATTCATTGCCCACTATGAATTATTCAGCATCTACTATAAATTATTCAGTATCCACTATGAATTATTCAATATCTACAATGAATTATTCAGTATCTATTATGAATTATTCAGTATGTAATATGTACTGTAAGTACTGTATTAGTTCTGTAGTTATGAGAGTGTGGTGTGTTTAGGCTTTATTGCCATCACGACCTGAGTGTGTGTATGTGTGTGTGTGTGTGTTTCTCGTGTGAGTACTGTTTACTGTGGAGGTCCTGTTGGGATGCTGCCCCGCTGGGGGGCCGTTTCCATGGTAACAGACCCCTGTGCGGAAGGCTGGATGAACCTGAGCGTCACAGTGTTTCATAACTTTTTCTCACACTTTTCCGCTGGTCTTTTGGGGAAACTGCTGTCAGTGGTCAAAACCAGGCATCTGGTTCAGCCTTTAGAGTAACGAGGCACGGAGGGGGTGAGGGTAGGGGGAGGTTGGGCGCTGTAGGAGCTGGAACAGTGAAGAAACCAAATTAAATCATTATCTGAAACAAAGCAACCTGTTAGAACTCTGTAGAACCACAGCCATCTTTAACTCACGCTGGACCATGTGGGGAAAATATGTGATTGGGATTTTTCTGATCAATGTTGTAGCTGTGATTTCAAATGTGATTTAGTTTCTATAAATTAAAGCCCAGGTCCATAATTTTGGCCAACTTTCTGGTTTGAGGCCTGAACTCTAAACACAGTGAACCAGACAGCCAGTCAGTGGTCGTGATGTCACAGCATATGGCTGTTTGTTTGCTTCTGATTGGTCTAATTAATCTAAAGCTGGTTCACAAGCTCTGTGTTATCAGGTGAAATTTCCTCATGTAACACTAAAATCATTACAGATCATGTAGGATGTAGTAGAAATTTCAGCTCTTGTGATTTGAAAGTTTGCAGTTTTGATATAAAAAATTAAATAAGCCTGAAATTTAAAAAATCATATTGAAACTTAAACTTGCCAGTGTGCATGCGTATGTGCTGTTTGCATGGTGCAAACAAAAACATGTTAATATTAACAGTTTAACACAAGCAACATATTCAGGCACTGTTCATTTGTTGCCGTATTGATAATTATACTGTGTTGAGTTTTGATTTTTGTGTAGTTGCTGTTCCTTTCCTGCCTGTGTGAATTTGAATGCTTTGATTAGTCTGCTCTTGTTCCTCAGAGCTCTCTGACCGAGGTGCAGTTTGGACCAATGAAGTTATGTGAAGATCAGCTTCAGGTAACTCACCTGCCTCCACACTCATTTACACTCACACTCAGAGAGAGTATTTACTGTTATCTGAAGCAAAAATGCGTCTAAACTATCAAGCATTGCTGAGCTGAAATCATTTATACATGCTTGTGTTTGATGATATGGGCTCTAATGATGAAGATCAGAGCTACATTTATTGTTTTCAACATTGTGGATGTGTCCTGTTGCAAATGAGACATTATTTTCTCTGCTGGTGTTTGTGTAGGCAGTGTGTAGCGGTGTGATGGTAATGCTGGTGTTTGAGTAGGCCGTGTGCAGCAGTGTGATGGTAATGCTGGTGTTTGTGTAGACCGTGTGTAGCGGTGTGATGGTAATGCTGGTGTTTGTGTAGACCGTGTGTAGCGGTGTGATGTTAATGCTGGTGTTTGTGTAGACCGTGTGTAGCGGTGTGATGTTAATGCTGGTGTTTGTGTAGGCCGTGTGCAGCGGTGTGATGGTAATGCTGTGTAGGCCGTGTGTAGCGGTGTGATGCTAATGCTGGTGTTTGTGTAGGTTGTGTGTAGCAGTGTAATGGTAATGCTGGTGTTTGTGTAGGCCGTGTGGAGTGGTGTAATGGTTATTCTGGTGTTAGTGTAGGCCATGTGTAGCAGTGTAATGGTTATTCTGGTGTTTGTGTAGGCCGTGTGTAGTGGTGTAATGGTTATTCTGGTGTTTGTGTAGGCCGTGTGTAGCAGTGTGATGGTAATGCTGGTGTTTGTGTAGATTGTGTGTTGCGGTGTGATGTTAATGCTGGTGTTTGTGTAGGCCGTGTGCAGCGGTGTGATGGTAATGCTGGTGTTTGAGTAGATCGTGTGCAGCGGTGTGATGGTAATGCTGTGTAGGCCGTGTGTAGCGGTGTGATGGTAATGCTGGTGTTTGTGTAGGTTGTGTGTAGCGGTGTGATGGTAATGCTGGTGTTTGTGTAGATTGTGTGTTGCGGTGTGATGGTAATGCTGGTGTTTGTGTAGATTGTGTGTAGCGGTGTGATGGTAATGCTGGTGTTTGTGTAGATTGTGTGTAGCAGTGTGATGGTAATGCTGGTGTTTGTTGTAGGCCGTATGTAGCTGTGTGAAGGTAATGCTGGTGTTTGTGTAGGCTGTGTGTAGCAGTGTGATGGTACAGCTCTGCTGTGGATTGCTGGTCTGCTGTATTAGTGCTGGGTGGGAAAGCTTGGCTTGTGTGTGTGTTTGTAGTCCCCCAGTCAACTGCAGCAGCTGAATTCCCTGCGGTTGCTATAGCAACCAATCCAAACAGAAACGGGGAACGTGCCTTAATGAACAATACGTCTTACAGCGCAGAGCTTTGGGCTCTGAGTGAGTGTCGTCACGAGCTGTGTGACGTCTGCACTGTACAGCACAGTGAATAACTCTTTGTCACACACACACACACACACACACACATACATACATACATACACACAGAGTATTTATTATATCCTGCTGAAGCTTTATTCTCTGCAGAATGTGCTGAGTGCTGCTGCTACACTAAATATGTGAAACTAAAAAAGTCCAGTACAGTCAGATCTACACTTACCAAGAATGTATTTTGGATTGATATAACCTGCTGATCTCTAGAGTTCAGAACATTCCAGTGTGTGATGAATTTTATAAAAACGAATAAAAGTGGTGACCGAAACTGCCAAAGCTCTTAAATAATAAACTCATACACAGATATAAAACTGAAGTCTTCTTATTCACCAGCTTCTCATTTGAATTTTCTGTTCCACCTTAAATACTGCAGTTACACTGAGGCGCCTTAAATGGAGGACGAATTATGAAAGTTGCAGAATATGAAGCAACATCAGCTCACCTTAATAAATACATTAATTTATCTCAAAAATACCTTCGTTCACCTCAGTAAATGTATTAATTTACCTCAATAAATATATCAATTTACCTCAATAAATGTGTTCATTTACCTCAATAAATAGATTTACCTCAATAAATGCACTAATTTACCTCAATAAATGTATTAATTTACCTCAATAACTGAATTAATTTGCCTCTGTAAAAGCTTCTTAATTTCTTCTTCTTAAGTTCTTAACAAACCCCTCAAACTTTCTCTTGGAGGGTTTAATGAGCAGCTAACGAGCAGCACAACAGAGCAGCTGTTGAACACGTCTCACTGGCTGATCTAACGACACTTCCCAAACCACAGACTTCTGTACTTCACCTACTACACTAATGAGTGCACTTCTATATGGTATATGCACTATTTTTACACACTATTTAGTGAGCTAGTATGTGGTTTGGAATGGGGTGCTAGTAACGCAGTGGGAAATTTGAGCCGTTTACATGTCAGCTTTCATTTGTTATCAGTACAGGAACAAATCACAAAGTCAAGGCAGTAAACTCAATTATATCAGTTACTACACTTTAAACATGATATTTAAAGTGTTTAAAAGTATGTTTTGCTGCCTTTGCTGGATCAGTCATGGCTTTATCTCATTACAAACCGCCATAGTGCTGCTGAGAGAACTTGATGTTGCTACCAAAATGGCAACAGTGCGATTGTGACATCATCAGAGTACTATCAGTTGTTGCACAGTGTCCGTATCAGATTATAGAATTATGTATATACCTGTTATGTGAGGGGGCTGAGTGATTATATCTGTCCTTTCTTATTAATAAACTTTGATTAGTTATCATATATGTGTGTATCAGATGTGTTTATCTTTGTAGCCACTCAGGCTTAATTCTCTTTTTTCGGTCCAGATGTTTCAGTTCTGAATAAACTCCGACCAAACCTTGCCTCTGGGTTTGGACTCGGGACAGTTGGCGAGTGATCCGCTGCTAATGTACTGATTATGATGTGTACGTTTTGTAGAAATGTTGATAATAGAATTAATAATTAATGACTCGTGGGTGTGATTGCATAACACAGCTGCAGTTGTGCTGTTGTGTGTTTGCACTGTTGACTGTGGAGAGTTTACAGCTGCTGAGTAATAAACCGCAGGCTTTGTTGAGCGCTGATTTATTATTGTGGTACCATTAAAAATAAATGTGGTACTAGAGTTACAGTACAAGTGCACAGAAGAACCCAATCAGTTCTTTTTTTTATTTAAGATATTAGGCAGCTTTAATAAAAGACCAGCACAGTTACTACAGAACTGTAATTATTCACTGCACAAAAAAAGAATCCATTGTTTTTGTGATGTCACAAAAAGCAACATGTACCCACCCATTCAGCTCACAGCAGTTTAGAACTGCCCTTTCAGCCTACAGCAGTTTAGCCCCACCCTTTCAGCCTACAGCAATTTAGCCCCAGCCATTCAGCCTACAGCAGTTTAGCCCCACACATTCAGCCTATAGCAGTTTAGCCCCACTCATTGACCCACAGCAGTTTAGCCCCGCCCATTCAGCCTACAGCAGTTTAGCCCCACCCATTAACACTGAAGTTTTAAGTAGTGTTTCAGCCGGATTGCTTTTTGAATGAGACACAATACAGGGCAGCAAATCAGAACAGAGCTTATTTACATATATCGGTCTTAAAGATACAGTAACATAAACAACCTGTTTGATTATAAGCAGTAAAAAGAGGTTAGAAAACTGTCTTGTTTTCATACATAAAGCGTAATAAAGTGTAGAAAATGAAGGATATGGGCCCTTTAAACAAGGAAATACAAAAGAGTTATTACATATTTTGCTGTCTTGGTGTTAAATATTAACCAAAACATTAACATCATTACAATAATGTTATCCAAAATCAGTGACAGTGAACATGATTGCTGTAGTTCGTAGTTCACAGTCTGTTCTACTCAAACTGTGTGAAGCTTTAAATGAGGCAGATCTGTTCAGTAGAGAAACTCTGGATTACTGAATTATTAATAATCAGCTGTGATGTAAGCGCTGGTCTGTAACTGCTCGCTGTGTAAATATGAGCAACCACACATGGACGCTGAGCTCGTTGAGTGTTCAGTAAACATGCAGAAAGTTGGAGCACGTTCAGATGGAAGGAGATGAAAGGTCACTAACCTTCAGAAATCAGGCCACAGCTATAAAAACCCAGAGCTACCTTAAAATACCTGCTGACCCTGACACAGCAGTAAGGAGAGCTTCACTGAACAGACAGAGTCTGAACGTCAGCTCACATCACACTACACACCTGAGCATCACCGCGCTGGCCGAGGAACATCTGTCTGCTTCTTAAAAGAGCTTGACTGATACAGAACCTTTAATGCATTATATTTAAAAGTGATTTTTTTCATTCCCCCATAACTGAGTGTGTGAGATGTAAACAGAGTGATTCAGAGTGGTTTGGTGTGAAATGGTTCAGATTTCTTTACAGTGGTGGTGATAGTAACCAGGGGTCGCCATGACTACATCACAAATATAGACATTTTATTTACTACTCAGAACCTCCACTGAACCTACACATGTCTTCTGAGTTTTATATGGAATGCTAATAGTAGAAAATAATGGAAAATCTGAAATAATAAGGTTTTCTTTGCAGACTGTTTTGCCTCACAGCATCCTGCATGCATCCCTCCACCATGAGTGGAGTTTAAGTTCTCAAAACTATTATAAAACAGTGTCTCAGACATCAGACAGTGTATTAATAACCATTTCATGTAGTAACTTTCTGTGAGGGAGCTTTGAGAGGTGGACGTCTGGTTCCTATCACCACCACTTTGAGCAATTCTGACTCGGTATGTTTCTCTAGAACGGAGCATTTCACACCAAACCACTCTGAATGACTCTGTTTACATCTTAAACACTTTTAAAACAATTTTAATTTTTAAAAACAATTTAAAAAAGTGGTGGAGTTCCCCTTTAAATACATAATGATTTTTTTTTTTTAATTTGTATAGACATAAACCTTTTTCAATTCTTTTATACAAATGCAGCTGAAAGTGATTTACAGAAAATTAGCTTAAAACAACAAATATTTTAAATAAATAAATGAGAAAGAGCAAGAATCTTGTGCCAATATGATCATTCATTATTTTGTTACTGTAGTTTAGTGTTCAGAGCTCAGTTTGATGTAAAGATAAAGAAGCCAAAGGTTAAGCAGAGTTAAAGAGCCCATATCCCAACGTCCTCTTGTATTATTTCCCACTTATAAAGAATAATCCCCTACAGTTAGGCAGGTTGTTTTTGTTACTGTATATGTTAATGAGCTCTGTTCTGATTTGCTGTGCTGTATTGAGCCTCCCTGTAAGCTGAATGGGTAGAGCTAAACTGGTCTAGGCCAAGTGGGTTGAGCCATTCCGACTGCAGAGATATGTAAATATGTTTGTGACATCACAGAGACAGTGATTTCAAAACAGGCTGTTTTTGCAGTTTAGACTGGAACTTTGAAACTTTAGCATTGTTTACCAACTACATCAAAGCATTTCATTACATTTACTTTTTTTAACACATCAAGAAAGGTCCCATTTTCCAGGGTACGGGCTGTTTAAAGCGGTGTGAGGTGGAGCTGAGTGCTGGTTCAGTGTGAGTGGAGGTTATTAGGAGTTATTATAAACTCTACTGAGTGCAGAGATGTTCTTTAATTACTGTAGGAAAATGAAACGGAGTGATTTCCTTTTCCTGTTTTTGTCACCCTCTCTCTCTCTCTCTCTCTCTCACTTACGCGCGCACACACACACATACGGAGTGTTCAGAGTGTGAACTGATCTGGTTTTGAAGCTGAATATGAATCTGAATAATTTCTGCAGAAATTCATTCAAAACTGATGCTGTAAATGAACCTGCACCCTGAAATGACCTGCACGCTCACGTGCTAATCAATAACGGCATGAAAATGATCCGTCTGCACCAGGAACAACAGATGAACAAACATATCAAAAGACTAATCATCACAGTGATCGTTAGCTCTGATCAGCTCTCTGTTGTTTAAGAGAGACAGTGAAGAAGCGCTTTAATGCTTTAAAGGGGAACTCCACCCAAATTCCTGCTTAATTAGACGGTTAAGATGTAAACAGACCTGTTCAGAGTGGTTTGGTGTGAAACGCTCCATTCTAGAGAAACTTACCGAGTCAGAATTGTTCACAGTATTGAACAGCTCTAAAAGCTCCCTCACAGAAAGTTATTACATGAAAAGGTTATGAATACACTGCCTGATGTCTGAGACACTGTTTTATGATAGTTTTGAGAACTAAAAATCCATTCATGGTGGAGGGATACATGCAGGGCGCTGTGAGGCAAAAATAGTCCCCAAAGAAAACTTATTATTTCAGATTTTCCACTGTTGTCCATGATGCGTGTAGGTTCACTGGTGGTTTTGGATAGTATATAAAATATTATATTTGTGTGGTATAGTATTGTATTGTAGATATTACTAAAATGTTACAGAAATGTCACTGAAATATTCAAGAAATATTAGAGATATCACAGAAATATTACAGAAACATCACAGAAGGATCACTGAAATATTAAAGAAATATGACTGAAATATAAAAAAATACTGAAATATCACAGAGACATTACTGAAATACTAAATTAATATTACTGAAACATCAAAGAAATAATATGGCAATATTAAATAAATATAACAAGCATCACAGAAATATTAAAGAAATGTTACAGAAACATCACAGAAATATTAAAGAAATGTTACAGAAACATCACAGAAATAATACAGAAATATTGCTGAAATATTAAAGAGATCTTACAGAGATATTACAGAAATATTACAGAAACATTAGAGATATTGCAGAAATATTAAAGAAATATTACAGCAATGTTACAGAAATGCAGTGCAAATCTCAACATGATTAGATTTGTTTGTGATGTGATTCTTTAGAAAACAGTTCAGTGAATCATGAAATCTTAGATTTCAGCATTCAGTGATTCTTTTGCTGTGATTCACTGCAGAATCACAGACTGAGTTCTGCTCACTCAGAGCATCAGAACATAGAACGTTCTGTCTGTTCTACTGTTCTCTACTTTGTGTGTGTGTGTTTGTGCATGAGCACATGATCAGCTCCGACATGACGCCTGTGTGTGTGTGACTCATAGCTTTGAGCTGTTCCCACTTACACATGAAGAGAGAGAAGTGAAAGAGAGAGATAAAGAGAGATAGAGGGAATAAAAAGAAGGAATGCAGTGAGCGAGAGACAGATAAAGAGAGGTAGGGAGGATAAAGAGAGAGAGTGAGAGAGAGAGAAAATAAATAAAGAGAGAGAGAGAGTTCTTTGGTGAACTTTTGCCTTAAGTGCTGATCAGGTTGGAGTGCGCTACGCTAAACAGTGTAGTGCTCCTACTGAAAGGCCTCCTGTGCCATTTACTGCTAATTGGCTGCAGTCACTGAGCTGTGATTGGCTGCAGTCACTGAGCTGTGATTGGGTGCGGTCGCTGAGCTGTGATTGGCTGCAGTCGCTGAGCTGTGATTGGCTGCGGTTGCTGAGCTGTGATTGGCTCTTCTGTGTGTGGTTTCTTTCAGGTACTGTTAGTGTTTGCCAAAGAGGACAGCCAGAGCAGCGGGTTCTGCTGGGCGTGCGAGCGAGCGAACTTCAGGGTGACCGTGGCTCGCACGCCCGAGTCGGCGCTCCACAGCTTTCTGGAGAAACACCATGACCTCATCATCATCGACCACAGACATTCCAGAAACTTCGACGCAGAAGCACTCTGCCGGTAATGCACGCAAACTCCTGCTTACGTTACACATACACAAACTTCTTTAGTTTATTAAAGCAATAAGCCACTCAAGGCCGTGGGTTACCACAATTTTATCATGGGGAAGAGTGTTTTTTGGCAGTAAAGCTCCCTTCCCTGTGATAAAATCGCAGTAATGCACGGCCTTGAGTGGCTTATTGCTTTAATAAAACAATGGCCAACATAAATATATTAAAATACACAATGTTTTAAATAATTATGAAAGTTATTATTAATAATAATCTATATAAGCAAGTATTCCACCAAGAAATGTAGTTCCTTTAAAGTATGGTATCGTTGCTAAGCAACCATTGACCGCTGAATGAGGAAAAGAATGTTCAGTCGCCAATCACTGTATACTGCAGACATTTTCATGATTTTTTAAAAACTTTTTCGTATAACAGTGAATGTATGTAACATTTTAACAGTTTAACCCTTGTGTGGTGTTGATGTTTTGTTACTCAGTGGTCTGGTGGACCCACTGCATTATTGTTTTTTAAATAATAATCATAACAATTTATGTAAAAATACCAGATGTTTAAAATATCACAGGTGGCTAGCGTAGGGCTCTCCTTTAGCAGCTGTAGCCAGTCAGCAGCCTGTCCATGTTGTCCACCTTCACACACACACCCACACACATACCCACACATACCCACACACACCCACACACACCCCCCCCCACACACACACACACACACACACACATACAGACACAGACAAACTAACAGAAAGCCATGTAGGAGGAGAACAGAGTGAAGAGACACAGCCCCTCCATACTTTTATTCCTGCGGGTTCACCCCAACACCATATGTGTAATATAAATGTGTAGGGGGTGTACAGTGTGAAGTCACTGAAAATGTGTTATTTTATATGTTCTTTATAGAAAATGAGCACAGGCCAAGGAATCTGAGGTTGAAATAATAATAAATCGCTTCATTTTTTATTTTGGTAAACATTGAAAATGGGTTCCACAGACCCGAACACCATAGAAGGGTTAATGCAAAAACTTTTAGTTTGTAAGTACAACACCACTTTTCTCATGTTGGGGCTGAATCTACGTAGGAATTTTAATACTGGATTCTGCAGCCCAACAGAGCATAATATAGCTTAGAAATAGTCATTTGGGCTTCATCCACATTCAAAGTCGACAAGCAGTGCACTATTTGACAGCAGAAGCTAGAATTAAAGAATCTAAACTTAATGTTACACAGCGCACTATTTAGGGAGTACGGAGCCATTTGAGACTCAGCCTGGGTTTGGTGCGACTTCTGGCTGAAACACAGAAATTTGAAGTTTGTAAGCCATTCAGGTGACATTCTTTAGACTTTTATACCGCCGTTTTACAGTTAATCGTATTGTAAGTACTTTAATTCAAGTCTGTGATATTAATGTTGGAGTTGTTTAGCATGTTTGCTATTTTTTAGGCTGTTAGCTAGCTGACCAGCCTAGTTCTAGTAAAGAAAATAAGTTTTCAGCTTCTCAGTTTAAACAAAAACAGGATCTTACTTAATCAGTACACTCGGTGCTCTGTGCAAGCAGCATTAGAGTCAAAGATTATTCCATTAACAGCACAAGGGTTTTTTTTTCGTGGTGCCATTCTGGATTCAGCCATGTGAGCACAATTCATACTGGACATAAAGACCAATATTTGGGTAGAAAACACAAAATTTTATAATTCACATAGTCACTACATAGGGAGCAGTGAGCTGTTTGAGATTCGGCCTTAGGACTATCATTAGTATTTAGTTCATTTGTATTCTCTGACCCTGCCCACACAGAACAGTTTCAGAGTCAGAGAAACTTAGCGAGCTAAAGTTAATCCAGCATAATCAAAAGCTAGCGAGCTAGGCCTCCTGTCTGTAGCTGCCTGTCACCCGTTCACTCGTTAGCCAACATCAACATTGTCCTACCTAAAAGGCAGAGGGTGTTACCCACTGCACTATACCAGCCACATATGAGGGGCAGAGCAGGCTAGGAGTTTTGGACAAAGAACTGTCAATCAAGCTGCTCACTGGCCACGCCCACACAGTTCACAGATCGGTCTAATCAGCGGTTTAATCCGTGTTTTATCAAGTAATTATATCTTAGATTTTTTATATACGCTTTGCTGGATGTTAATTTTACACTCAAGTTTAGTATCACACACATTAATATTTTACTCTGTGTCCCTGAGGCATTAGTAGAATTGTTCTTCTGTATACATCACTGACCGTACATACGGGCCGTAGTCTAAGCAGTGTTCTTGTTAGTTGTTAGGAATGTAAAACAGTGGTGGCAGCTCTATGCAGGACTCTTTTCTGAAAGAGTCACTGTAACACTCATACATACAAGCTCAGATATACATATGATAATAAAACATATGCAATGACTTTGCAAGCTCAGCTAGTTAGCAGCGCTAAAACGTACGCAAAATAAGAAGTCTCTGAAATCATTCACAAGATTAGAGAGAGAGAGAGAGATGGACACAGAGAGAAAGAAAGATAGATACAGAGAGAGAGATCAGGGAGGATGAATACAAGGAGAGAGAGAGAGAGGTATGTAGTTTGGTCATGTGTTAGTGAGTAGCTGCACTGTGTCTGCTGTTCTATCTTTAGATTTAGACTCAACCAAATCTCTCTCTCTCTCTCTCTCTCTCTCTCTCTCTCTCTCCACTTTGGAATAACAGTAGAAGCCTTCTACAAATACTTTTATGTGTTGGAATAACAGTGGTTCATGTTTACAAGCGGTCCGATTTGTAGGAATAACAGTAGTTCCCATTTACATACGCTCTTAATTGTTGGAATAACAGTAGATCCTGTTTTCAGGTGCTCCAATTTGTAGGAATAATAGCAGATCCCATTTACAGACGCTCTGATTTTTTGGGTATAACAGTATATTCCCTTTACAGACACTCTGATTTGTTGGAATAACAGTAGATCCCATTTACAGATGCTCTAGTTTGTTGGAATGACAGTATATCCCGTTTACAGACGCTCTGATTTGTTGGAATAACAGTAGATCCTGTTTACAGACACTAGGGGTGCGGGAAAAAATCGATTCTTAGATGCATCGCGATGCAGACGTGAACGATTCTGAATCGATTCACAAAGGTCAAAAATCGATTTTCTAAATATTGAATTTATAACGTGATGTTGACGGAACGCAAAAGACGGAACTTGGAAGTGTGGAAGTGCAGAAGTGCAGCGCCCGGACAGTCTGTGGCGGCACATAACAAAAACGCAACTGGATGAGCGAGAAATCCGACCGGCTCCCTCTGCATTAAAAGCCAGGTTAGGTCAGCAGTCACAACCCAAATGTTAACATTTTGTCCTTTCAACAAAAATCAAACCACCGAGCCGCAACATTTAATGTCCAGTATGTCTCAGTATGTGCTGATGTCCTAGTATAGGCTAAACAATATAAACGAAAACGCAGATTTTCTTTGCTGTGCTTTAAACTTTAGCTTTAGCTGCTTTCCTCCCATCTCCGCCAGAAAACTTTTCCTCAGAAGTAGATCAGTTAAATGTCTCTCAACGTTCGACTGTTTTACGAGGCTGAAGTCGCTTCTTATTCCCCAGCTTCTTGTTCGAATTTACCTGTTCCACCTTAAATTCTGACTGAGTTATAAAATCACTGAAGAAAACGGGATAGCGTTACAGAATAGCTGTAATGTGATTTGTGGACATCCACTGTCACTGGATCTTATTTCACCGTAACTGCGCATTTTATCGCAGATGAGTAGCAGCAGCTTCTCGTGCTCCAAACAAGAGCACTGAATGAGAGCCTTCTAGTTCACTTGCCACATCACTCCCATTTGATTTATTAAAAAAGATATTGGAAGTAAATTCATTATGGATCATTACAAATACTTTGCTTTAAAAGTACCAAGTGACTTTAAATAACAATAACACCAAGTTACTTAGTCACTTTAAAATGTATATTGTCTCTACATTCTGTATACATTATTTCAGTTGGTTTTTCTTGTATTTTTATTTTTACTTATTTACTTTCTGTAGAGTGATTAGCTGAGCCTCACCACAAGCATTTCAATGCATAAATGTCCTGACATGTTGTGCAAATGACCAATAAACTTGAAACTTGAACTCAAAACTTGAGCTCACACAGTGAGAAAATATAAATGCTATATAGAAAAAAAAGATGCATCGAGATGCATTGATAATCGTTTTATAATCGCATCGCAGCCCTCTGAATGGTAATCGAATCGAATCGTGAGGTGCCTAGAGATTCCCACCCCTAACAGACACTGATTTGTTGGAATAACAGTAGATCCTGTTTACGGACACTCTGATCTGTTGGAATAACAGTAGATCCCATTAACAGACACTGTGATCTGTAGGAATAACAGTATATCCTGTTTACAGACACTCTGATCTGTTGGAATTACTGTAGATCCCGTTTACAGGCACTTTAATCTTGTTTAACAGGCAAATCAGAATGTCTGTAAATGGGATCTACTGTAATTCTAACAGATAGAGGATAAGGTGATAAACTGATCAGTCTTATTATCTAGTGTTGTGTGTGTGAATAGTGTGTAACCGTGTGTTTGTTTTCAGTTCTATCCGGGCGCTCAGCTCCTCTCAGAACACTGTTATTGTTGCTGTTGTGAAAAGGTGAGTACTGACACACACATTAGAGTAATGAGGGTTTATATTGATTTTATTGTTGTTTTATATCGATTATTGAATCATCCTGATCTGAGAGGTGCTGTGTGATGTTGTGGCTGCAGGCCAGACCGTGAAGAAGCCACTGTGATGCCTCTGCTGTCAGCTGGATTTAACAGGGTGAGTATCGCAGAGACACATCTGAGCAGCTGAGCCCCTCCACATATTACCCATTCAGTTCTGGATCTGGATCATCAGTAACTGTGTTTTCTGTTTTATTTCTAACAAACTTTTACATTAAATTTATGCTTAGTTATGTTTTAGTGCCCCCTTTATTTTAAATACAGGACATCAAACAGTGCCACACCATGATTATATGATTTTTGAAATAAATGTAAAATATACTGTTTTTTTGTTGCAAGAGACCCGAACATCTGAATGAATCACATTAGTGTGTGAAGGTGTTTATGCTGTGTGTTAGTGTGGACTCAGTCTGTGTGAAGTAGAGTTCTGAGAGTGAGTTTAATACTTTGTGTGTGTGTGTGTGTGTGTGTGTGTGTGTGTGTGTGTGTATGTAGCGCTATGTTGAAAACTCTAATGTGATGGCCTGCTACAATGAGCTGATCCAGCTCCACCTTGGAGAGATCCGCTCCCAGATCAAACTCAGGTAACACACACACACACACACACACACACACACACAGTACTGATGTATGCAGAATTTCCTTTGAGGTGGGGCTGGTTACACGTTGGTGGGGGGCACACCTAGAAAGCATTCTCAGACCTGCCAACCTTTACATGTTTTGTGTAGCAGGTACACATTTTGACATCCAAGTATGCTGATACAGTTTGTCACTTTACGCAAAAAGCTGTGACACCAGTGATTCAGTTGTTCACATGCAGCACTCATCTAACAGCAGGAGGCAGCAGCGTCTTGCCTTCTGAAAAACAAAAGAAGAAGAAGAGTTTGACCAATCAGAGCACTGGGTTTATTCCCTAAGGATGAGAAAAGTATAATGTCAGTGATTTCAAGACTGCAAATCGACAGCAACACAAAATTATCTTTTTTTTTTTTATTTTTCCAGTTTTCTCTCCAATTTAGCCATATCCAATTCTACCCACTTGTTAAGATTTGTTAAGACTCGTTAGTACTAGTTAACACCCTAGCAACCATCTGGTTTTCCATACCACCCACCTACCAATAGCCTATCAACCACCTGGGATACCATAGCAACCACCTAGCAACACCCAGTTTATAAAAATCATCCCTCATTACCATAATCAGACATTTCTGAATATTAATAACACATGCTTGTTTACTGGCTTGCGTTAGCAACTACACTCTTAATAAAGATAGCTCATCTTTTTTAAAGAAGGACAGCAACACCCTAGAAACCATCATTGGATATGATAGCAGAAGCATAGCAACATCCTAGCAACCATCTGGAATACCATAGTAACTGCGTGTGTGTGTGTGTGTGTGTGTGTGTGTGTGCGTGTGTGTTAGAGCCTGTAATGCTATCTTCACGGCACTGGAACAGAGCCAGGATGCCATCGAGATCAGCAGTGAAGACCAGCTGATCCAGGTGAGCTGCAGAGGCGGAGCAGTAACTTAGTAACTCTTGCACAGCACAGATTAAAGCTCTATAATCACACCAGTTTCACACCAGTATTAACACTGCTGATCATAAACAAATACTGTCAGCTGCACTGCGGACGATACAGGACTTAAAGCTGTCAGAGGGAGAAACAGGCCTGTAACTAAACACTGTGCAGAGTTTCGTCTACACTCTGATTCAGTCAACAGTGCTGAGAAATGGCAGATACAGGAAAACAAAGCACAGTGCCGGTTACAGAAATCAGCAGTACAGACTTGAGAATCGTTTATCACCCTGAACTGAAATTGAATCAAAGTGAATCTGAAAAAATCTAATCTCGTGTGTAAATAAGTAATTTTACAGGAGAAGTAAAAACATTCTTAACTTTACAGACTATAGTCCATCTGTTTCTCTGCATACTTTGTTACCCTGTTCTTCAATGGTCAGAACCCCCACAGAGCAGGTATTATTTGGGTGGTGGGTCATTCTCAGCACCGCAGTGACACTGACGTGGTGGTGGTGTGTTAGGGTGTGTTGGGCTGGTGTGAATGAATCAGACACAGCAGTGCTGCTGAAGTTTTAAACACTGTGTCCACTCACTGTCCACTATTAGATACACCTACCTTGTCAGTCCACCTTGTAGATGTAAAGTCAGAGACGATAGCTCATCTGCTGCTGCACAGTTTGTGTTGGTCATCATTTAGTCCTTCATCAGTGCTCATAGGACGCTGCCCACAGGCCGCTGTTGGCTGGATGTTTTTGGTTCTCAGTCCAGCAGCAACACTGAGGTGTTTAAAAACTCCAGCGACACTGCTGTGTCTGATCCACTCGCACCAGTGTAACAAACAATAACACACCACCACCACGTCAGTGTCACTGCAGCCACCAAATCTGTTGTCTGTTATCAGATAACAGTGACTATTGAAATAATGTTTATTAGCAATTTTAGTGTCGTATCACCATGCAGAGAACCATTTAAGCATGCAGATAGTTTTTGAGTGTTCATTGTTCTGTATAGAAATGCTATCTTTACTAAAGAACCCATGAAGAACCGTTTTAGGTAACACATTCTTGGTGCCCAAACTTTGCTTATTTAATTCAGCTAACATTGCTATCAACACTAGAAGTCAATAGTCACCGAAATCTTTTCAAAGAGGGTTCTTCTATTGTTACGATGTCAAGCTTGTAACAATAGAAGAACCCTTTTTGGTGCTGTATAGAACCCTTTTCAAAAAGTTTCTATATAGAACCATATACAATCTTTTTGAAAAGGGTTATATAAAGCACCAAAAAGGGTTCTCCTATTGGGACAAACTTGACATTGTAACAATAAGAGATCCATTTTTGGTGCTAGCTAACCCTTCTTGGTTCTTTGAGTGTTCGTGGTTCTATATAGAACCATTGTCTTAACTAAAGAACCCTTGAAGAACGTTCTTTTGTACGTCAGTGTACGTCTGGGGAAAGTGCGGTATAATAACAGTAACAATTACATACACTCTCTCTCTCTCTCTCTCTCAGTATGTTAACCCTGCGTATGAGAGTGTGATGGGGTACCAGCAGGGGGAGCTGATGGCCAAGGAGAATGTTGAAGTGCCTAAAAGTGAGAAAAACAAACCCGACCTGCTGGAGAGCATCAACAACTGCATCCGCAAAGGAAAGGTGAGGGGCGGAGCTGCACACTCAGGTTCAACACTCGACTGCACGCCAAGCAGAGACACGGATGGTCAGAAAACAACTGACAAATCATCACTGTCCAAAGAAAAATATGCATCTTCCTTTTCGATTGTTCTTTTCTACGTCATTTGAGCTCCACAGCTGATCTTTACACTGTGTGAAAACTTCATGAAGAACCGACGAATAGAAACGCTCCAGTACTGCTGGAATTTTTTTACATCAAAAGTAAAGACATTTTTTCTCTCTCCTCTCCACTTAGCTGCGATATTCAGAACATGAGACATGATGCTCAGAGCCTACACACTTAAAAAGATAGTTCTTTAAGGGTCCTTCAGTAAAGAAAATGGTTCTATATAGCACCAAAAGGTTTCTTCTGTTTTTACAAGTATGACATCAAAACAACAGCAGAACACTTTTTAGTGCTACACACGTAAAAAAAGAGATGGTTCTTCTAGGGTCTTTCTGTAAAGAAAATGGTTCTGTATAGAACCATGAACACTCAAAGAACCTTTTGCGTGCTTAAATGGCTCTTTACATCATGAAATGGTTCTTCAGATTGATAGAGAATGTGCTTTAGATAGTTCTATATAGAACATTTTTAAAATAGTTATGTATAGCACCAAAATGTGTTCTTCTATTGTAACACGCTTGACATCGTAACGAGAAGAATCCTTTTTGGTGCTAGCTAACCCTTCTTAGTTCTTTGAGTGTTTATGGTCACTATGAGCGGCTGGTTACCATAATGAAATTGTATCTGGCAGTTACAGCAGCACTATGTTCGATTTGGGGATTTGGAGACCTCTGTGGTGAAAATGTGCAATTGCGAGCACAGTGCGGTGGAGCATTTTGTAACATCGGCTGTGCTTTGGACCCCCACAAACAAATGAATCTGACTTTTGTGAGTTTGTTTGAAAAGAATTTGTAAGTCGTGCTTTACTGTGATTTTATCACTAGGAAATGTGTTCTTAGCCAAGTGACAAAAATCACTGTAAAGCGTGGCCCCTTATATTATATCATATATTTTTTTTATATTATATTATTTTATATTATAAAATGGTGTACAACATAAAATATAATAAAATGCACATTTTTCCAGAAAATAATTTAAGTTATTATTAATAAAAATTGTCATAAACAAGTATTTCACCAAGAAATGTAGTATCTTTCGAGTTTTAGTATCGTTTCATGAACTTTTTGTTGTATAAAAATGAACATATGATAACACAGCACTGTTTAATGCAAAAACTTATGCTTTCTACGTACTTTTTGTTCACCAAATTACCACCACGAGTTGTGTTAAGCACCGATCCAGCGGTGCCCCTCTTCTCACGCTGCACTACGTAGGAATTTAAATTCTGGATCCTGCAGCCCAACAGAGCATAATATAGCTAACAAATAGTCATTTGGGACACATCCACACTAAGTAGTCACTGCTTGGCTGTAGAGGCTAGAACTTCTAAACTTCCCTAGCGCACTTTAGGGAGTACAGAGCCATTTGAGACTCAGTCTGTGTTTGATGCGACTTCTGACTGAAACATGGACATTTGAAGCATATAAGACAATAAAGTGTTATTCTTTAGTCTTAATTTTGCAGTTTTAGAGTGAATCATATCGTAAGTTCTTTAATTCAAGCCTGTGATATTAATGATGCAGCTGTTTAGCCTGTTAGCTATCCTTTAGCCTGTTAGCTAGCTGACCAGCCAAGTTCTAGTTAAGAAAAGCTCCTCAGTTTAAACGGAACTGGGTTCTTCCTTCATCAGTACACTCGGTAGTCCATGTGAGCGGCATTAGAGTCAAAGATTATTCATTGACAGCACAAGGGTTATTTGTGGCGCAGTGATACAGAGTTCAGTTGCTGTGAGGCTGTCAATGTGTGTATATTGACTGTTCTACAACGGCTTCAAACACAGCTCAGCCAATCAGATTTTAGGACTGGAACTATCCGTTTTATAAAATTATTTTTAGCAGTTGAAAACCCCTGAAACATGGAGGTTCCGCAGCCCCCTCAGCCGCCCCCCCCACAATCCCCCGTCCCCCTTGTGTTCAGAGGTCTAAGAGAGTTCCACATCAGTGGCTCAGTGTGAGAGAACTTCACACAGCAGAAAGGTCACACAGGCACTTTAAACAGTCTGTGCAGCCGCAGGGTGGGGGGGCACATCAAACAGCCCCGAGTGGACACAGCGGCTCTTTGCTTCAGCATGACCATCACCCCCCCCACCACTGCCACTGTCAGCACCGTAATTGATCAGAACGGATCAGCAATTTGACCGTCATCAACACCAGAACACCTCTTTATGTTTCATTTCCAGAAATAATGTCATTCTGATTTTCACTGTTTATGGGCAAGGAAAGTTTATTGATTCACACACTGCAGTCATTCAAAGATAATTCACATTCAAATTTAAAGAGATGTACACTGTTAGAGATAAAGGTGCTGTGCAGGTACATTTCTTGTTCATCACAGTACAAACAATGTAAATGTCCTCTCAAAGGTACAACAGTGGTTTTAAGGTCCAATTGTGAATCTTAAATTTTACAAATACATACTTTTCACCCAGTTTTTCCAGGTGAAAAGTATGTATTTGTACCTTTTCATAAGCTAATGTTTTAAAACAGAACAATAAAAAGCCTGGAGACGAGATGGGGTGGGGTTAATTCAACTTAAAACATATAATTTCAATGGATTATGGTACAGTCATGTTCCTTGGCTAAAGGTACTGAGATGTTCCCTGAGGGTTCCACCCCGGTGACAAGAGGGGTACTGACCCAGTGACAGTTTAGTACCTTTATTTCTGAGAGTGTAGGAAAATAGAAATTAAAAACATGACTAAAACATGATTATAAATAGTAGTTTTTTATGCATTGTGTGGCTGGTTGAAGTCCCGTTGAGCATTGGCGCCAGCCTACACTGACAGTGCTGGCTTGAAACGCTGTGCTAGTTTCTGTTTAATCTGAAAAGACCAAGTAAGTCATATTTACATGTGTGTGTAAAAGTATGCAGAATGAGACAGTTGGATTTATTATTTACCTTAGTATCTTTGTCATTTTTGTCATTATAGAATATTTTTCAAATCTGATTTTATGTGTCCTATGTTTTTTGGGTCCAGTATGTTGATACAGTATGTCAGAGTGAAAAAATAACTGTCAGGTCATATAGATGATGTGCTGAAAAAAAGACACCTTTAATGTGCTATATAAAGGCAAGCTCAAAATGTAGTTACAGGAGAGAAGTGTGGGAGAGCTACACTGAAAGTAAGAGGATGGTAGACCACTGTCTGCCTGCTGATGGCAGAGCTGGTGATCCACTGGTGTTTTCTAGGATTAGACAAAATTCCTCTTATCATTGCTCATTTCCACTCTCAGTTCAGTTTACTTATTTTTCCTTCCTTCCTTTAGTTATACTTTGTAAATTAGTTTAGTAAATAATTTTAATCCAGCACATTTTCTATGAAATCTTTTTATATCAGGCCTAGTCATTATTTATATTTCTCTCAGTTGTTTGTAATATTTATCTTAGTTTGTTTTCTAAAATAAAAGTCTCTGTGCATTTTTAAATCTGTTTGGGGAGATTTAAAACTAGTTAGACCTTGTATGCAGGACAACAATTTAGGTGGTCTGAGGGTGGACCAGCAGTGGCAAACAGGCAGGTAAAATGCAGGTGTAAGAGCTGGAAAACAAAGTGTGCAGTACAGAGACTGTTTCATATGCTACATTCATCTCACTGAAAATTAATGACTTGCTTTTCACTGATTGGTAAAGGGGAATTCCACCAATGTTGCAAAATTCCCTTGTAATTCAGTGTGTGAGATGTAAACAGAGTGACATGTTTTCTGAGTTTTATATGGAATGTTGATGATGGGAAAATAGTGGAACAGTTTTCTACATGCTGGTGTAAGCCATATGTGTGTGTTGGTGTGTTTCAGGAGTGGCAGGGTCTTTATTACGCCAAAAAGAAGAACGGAGACAGCGTCCAGCAGAATGTGAAGATAACGCCTGTCATCGGACAGGGAGGGTGAGCGACCTTCTGATTCCCTTCATAAATCTGCTGTACACTTCTGTATTCTAACAGTTTGACCTCTGACCTCTCTCCTGCAGTAAAGTCAGACACTATGTGTCCATAAACAGGCCTTTAAACGACAATAACAAGGTACGAAACACAAACACACAGATGCACACACAGACACACATGCAGGCCAGGCGGGTTATCTTCTCTGTAGTGGATGAGAATGTGTTATAGTGAAAATGTTTAAATTAATGAAGAAATATTGTGTATTTGTATCTATGTGTGTCCTCCTCAGTCAGTACACAGTGTGTTACAGCAGGTGCGTGTGTGTGTGTGTGTGTGTGTGTGTATTCTCTGTAGTCTGAGCGGTCCAGTGAGCGCGTTCAGGCTGAATCACAGACAGGTATGAACCTCAGAATCACTCAGTTACACACTATCGTCTCTGTGTGACTGAATTGTGTGGCAGTGTGGAGTCACTGCAGCTTACAGTGACTTATAGCCACCATAATGTGTTCATGTGACAGCTGTGTGTGTGTGTGTGTGTGTGTGTGTGTGTGTGTGTGTCTGTGTCTGTGTCTTCTTCAGATATTCAGTCCAGCAAGCATAAAGACCGGAGGAAAGGATCTCTGGACGTTCGGTCCACAACATCACGCGGAAGTGATGGTAAGAGAGGGAGGAGGGGGGCTGTGCTGGTGTGTTTGGGGTGACTCTACTGGTGTGACTGTACTGGTGTGTTTGGGGTGACTGTAATGGTATGTTTGGTGTGACTGTACTGGTGTGTTTAGTGTGACTGTACTGGTGTGACTGTACTGCTGTGTTTGATATGACTGTACTGGTATGACTGCACTTGTGTGTTTGGGGTGACTGTACTGGTGTGACTGTACTGGTATGTTTGGGAAGACTGTACTGGCGGGACGTGTGTTTGGGGTGGCTGTACTGGTATGACTGTACTGGTGTGTTTGTGGCGACTGTACTGGTATGTTTGGTGTGACTGTACTGGGGTGACTGTACTGGTGTGTTTGGTGTGACTGTACTGGTGTGTTTGGGGTGACTGTACTGGTGTGTTTGGTGTGACTGTACTGGTGTGACTGTACTGGTGTATTTGGGAGAACTGTACTGGTGTGACGTGTGTTTGGGGTGGCTGTACTAGTATGACTCTACTGGTGTGTTTGGGGTGACTGTACTGGTGTGTTTGAGGTGACTGTACTGGTGTGACTGTACTGGTGTGTTTGAGGTGACTGTACTGGTGTGACTGTAATGGTGTGTTTGGTGTGACTGTACTGGTGTGTTCTGTGTGGTTTTTACAGGAAGCTCTCAGAGGAGACACTCATCCATGGCGAGAATCCACTCCATGACGATCGAGGCTCCCATTACTAAGGTACCTAACACACTCATTACAGCTGATCTGTGTGGGTGTGTGTGTGATTAATATGACCATTGACTGTCATACTTACATGAAGAAGTGTTTTTTTTTTTAGCTGAACTGATCTGTGTGTGTGTGTGTGTGTGCAGGTGATAAACATCATTAACGCCGCTCAGGAGAGCAGTCCAATGCCGGTGGCTGAGGCTCTGGACCGAGTGCTGGAAATTCTCAGGACGACGGAGCTTTACTCTCCTCAGCTGGGCACAAAGGACGAGGACCCCCACACCAACGACCTCGTTGGGGGGCTCATGACGGTGGGGGACAAAAACTTACACACACCAGGGTTTCCCCTACATTCATCCTGACAGCTCACTGAGCTGTGTGTGTGATGTCATTAAATGTGTGCAGAGCTGCAGTTTCATCATCGCACACACTTAAAAATACAGATAAAAAGAGTTTTACACTCTTTACGTTTACATTTAACTGTGTGACTAGAGGTTCATTTATAATGAGTTAATTTAGACACCAGAGGAGCTGGAAAAGTAAGTAAATAAATAAATAAATAAAAAATAAACTAATAAATATGTATAATAAAATAAGAAAAGTAAAAGACCTACATATATGTAGTATATACACACAATTGTTTGAAAAAGTTTGCACACGTTGTTGATTTTGTGAGTGTAAATGTTACACATCCTCTACAGAGGCACACTACTGTACACTTTATTACACAGTTACTGTTTATCAACTGATTTTAATACACTGAGGAAAAACATAAAATATGGCTTGTGCAAAAGTTGTTGCAGTTTAGATTTTCTTTTTTTTCCAGAACATTTTAAAACCGAAATTGTGTGTTAAATTTTTTGTGCATTAATTGTGTGTGAAAACTTAATCTATTTAACATATTGAAAAAATAGTACGCAAATACTGCAGAATTTATTGAGCCCTTTATATGTAATGGGATTATTTTCTAAGCTCAGAAAACAAAGGAAAATTAGCCTTGTTAATCCAGAGTAATTTTACGTGTGCAAGATCACTTACCTTCTTTATTTGTGTACAGTTTTGTCTTTTTGACTCTTGGCCCACCAAAAACATTACACTTTAGCCCCCCAAGACAAAAAGTTGGACTATGTGTACAGTAATGCTGGTAATTGTTCACCATGGACCGAATAAAAACAATGCTAGCCAAAGAGGAAAGAAGTGCTAATGTTTTACTGTCCTGTATTATAAAAAAAATACTGCACTGGAATTATTGTTGTCACAAAAACACTGATAATCAATACTGTCTCACAGATCACAGTATCACATATTCTATTCATCATTCCAACTTTCAGTGATAATAGTGATGAAGTAAAGCTATGTAAAACTATCAGTGATAAAGTAAAACTGTGTTTAATGTTCAGGTTAGAGCTCTGTATAAGAATCACCAGCAGCCTGAATGATCAACACAAATGATTCGTGTGTGTGTGTGTGTGTGTGTGTGTGTGTGTGTGTTATTCAGGATGGGCTTCGCAGGTTATCGGGGAATGAGTACATCTTCTCTACTAAACGTAAGCGTTCTCTTCTGACCTCAGTACTGACCTCAGTCCACTGAGCACATACAGTCCATACACACACTTGTACCTCACCTGGCTTTAACACAACTGAAACACCCCTGAGAGGTGGGTGCAGCTTTATCTCTGTAACATTAGCACTGCTGCCTGGAATTTAATACTATTTCAGCCAAACAGACCTAACGTATAAAGCTCATTACTAGAGAGGAGTGCTCAACGCATTTTGGATTTTGTTAAATGCTAATTTGAGCAAGATTTATAATTTTGGTACCACTTTTCATTAAGACTACTTTTATAAATGCTTTGTAAATGGTTCAGTGTAGTTTATTATGGTTATTAATTAATAAGCAACTGTAACACAAATAAAAAGGGAAACAGTGATCGGTTGCTTGCCTAATAGTGAGCCCACAGTCCTTTACACTGTTATCTGCTCAGATCTTTGTCTTCTCCATCAGTCACCACTAAACCTGTCAGCTGCATCACATACAACAGCTCACTGTCACCATTTTTATTAAGGTGTTATAGCTTTATTAATAAGGTGTATTAATAATAATAATTTTAAACCAATCAGAAAGTCTTTATAGGGCTGTTATTGTAAGGTTGTACCATCATTCTTATTTAAGCAACTTACACATCTCTGTTACAAACGAACACATAAACTTACTGTTCATGAGCAGTTTAGCCATAAATGGAGCAGTGTAGCAGGGTGAGGGGCAAACTGTAACCTTCAATAAAAAAGTCAATCAATACAATATCAGTATCAAAATAAACACTGACACAATATTAGAGCAGAAAGTAGAAATAAGAACTGTATTTAGTTGAGACGACTGAGGAGCGTAGTGTGTATGTATGTCATGCAGAGCTGCTGTTTGCTGTCATACTGCAGTATCTACATAATTAATTACTCTGCATATCATATGGAACTCTCCTGTAGATCCGCATCACCTGCCAAGTCACCTGACCACTCCTCTGTCTCTGAACGACATCCCGCCCCGTGTGGCGCAGACCATGGAGAACGAGGACTCGTGGGACTTTGACATTTTCAGCCTGGAGGCAGCAACCATGAAAAGGTATGCCATTACAGTCCAGCAGCGTTATTATAATCCAGCAGTGTTATTACAGTCCAGCAACATTATTATAATCTAACAGTGTTATTAAAATCCAACAGCATTATTACAGTCCATCAGCGTTATTATAATCCAGCAGTGTTATTACAGTCCAGAAGCATTATTATAATCCAGCAGTGTTATTACAGTCCAGCAGCATTATTAGTCCAGCAGTATTATTACAGTCCAGCAAGCAGCATTATTACAGTCCAGCAGCATTATTAGTCCAGCAGTATTATTACAGTCCAGCAAGCAGCATTATTACGGTCCTGCAGCATTATTACAATTCAGCAGCATTATTACAATCCAGCAGCGTTATTAGAATCCAGCAGTGTTATTACAGTCCAACAGTACACCCAATGAGTAACCGACTCTGAATATAGGTATTGTAATATAAACTGAGTCTGTTCTACAGTTTCTCATTAGGTTGAAGGAATAACTGACTCTAAATGTAGGTATTGTGATATAAACTGAGTCTATTCTACAGTTTCTCATTAGGTTGAAGGAATAACTGACTCTAAATGTAGGTATTGTGTTATAAACTGATTTTTTTCCAGTGTTCGGTAAAGCCTGTCCAACCTCACAACAGTAGTTATGAAAGAACACATTTCCTAATAAATGTTCTTCGGGTCATTTTAAAGGTCCAGAAGGTTTAGCTGATGGAGCAGAAGCTCTGGTTAGTCTGCAGGTTTCTGCTGCCTCTGTTTTACATAAAGAAGCTCAGCCCTGTTGTATTTCTGACAGGCCGTTGACGTATTTGGGGCTAAAGATTTTCTCGCGGTTTGGAGTTTGCGAGTTCCTGAGCTGTCCGGAGGCAACGTTGCGTTCCTGGCTGCAGGTCATAGAGGCCAATTACCACTCCTCTAACTCCTACCACAACTCCACACATGCTGCAGACGTCCTGCATGCCACTGCGTACTTCCTCTGCAAGGAGCGCGTCAAGGTACACACACACACGAACATGATGTCCAGTACCAGTCTGAACTTTCCAAAGACATGAATAAGGCATTTAAGCAAAGGCTTTTACATCAGAATGATCCTAAGGTCTCCATGTCCAATGCCCAGCGTGGGCCAGAGGGGTATAAAGCACCCCAGCATTGGGCTGTGAAGCCAAGGAGCTGTGTTCTCTAGAGTGATGGAGATCTCTTTCATGATGATTTCAGCAAAGTCTGGATCCCATAGATGAAGTAGCGGCTCTGATTGCAGCAACGGTGCATGACGTTGATCACCCGGGCCGGACCAACTCGTTCCTGTGTAATGCTGGCAGTGAGCTGGCCATCCTGTACAACGACACGGCCGTTTTGGAGAGCCACCACGCTGCCCTCGCCTTCCAGCTCAGCACCCGAGACGAGAAGTGTAACATCTTCAAGAACATGGAGAGGTACACACACACACACACACGCACCTGACAATGGTGATGATGAATATATAATTGATGATGGTAATGACTATAATTGTAATTATGATGACGATGACTATGATGATGGTAGTGATGATGGTAGTGATGGTGATATGATGGTGAATGTGATGATGATCTTGATGATGTTGCTAATGCTGATAGTAATGGTGGTGGTGATGTTGAGTTTGGTGATGATGTTAATGATGACTATGATGGTAGTGGTATGATGGTGAAACTGATTGTAATTAAAATGTTAATGACAGTGATATAATGGCGGTGGTATGATGCTGGTGATGAGTGATGATGGTGATGATGTTAATTATAATAATGATGACAGTGGTAGTGGTGATGGAGATGAAATTGATTTTTAATGATGTTAATGATTAATGTGGTGATGGAGGTGCTGATGAGGATGATTATGAGAGGGTGATGGAAATGAATCTAGTGATCATAGCAATGATGATGATAATATTAATGGTGGTAGTGTGATGGTGATGAGAGTGATGTGAACGTGATGGTAATGATTGTAATGATGATGATAATGGTGGTGGTACGATGATGGTGGTGATGTGAGTGATGGTAATGGTGGTGATGATGGTGATGATGATGATGGTGACGACGATGATGATGATGGTATCTTTCTCTCCACAGGAACGAGTACCGCTCGCTGCGGCAGGCTATCATAGACATGGTGCTGGCCACTGAAATGACCAAACACTTTGAACATGTCAACAAATTTGTGAACAGCATCAACAAACCACTCGCAGCCTTGGAGGAAAATGGGGTGAGACTCTCTCTCACACACTTACACACACACACATACACACACACACACACACACACACTCATTGATGTGTCTGAATATATAGAGTTAAGTGGCCAGTTAAATAGATAAACGCTGATTTTGTTCTGTCAAATTTCTGAAATTCTTATTTTGTTCTGATTAAAAGCCCAGCAGAATCAAGTGTGTGTGGATGTGTGTGTGCAGTGAGGGAATGTGGCATGCTGGTATCAGGTTTCTCATGCTGGTATGGAATGCAGCACTGCTTTACCCTTACCTCCAACCTTATTCCCATATGTCCACCCAAACATCCACCAAACCTGCTCCCAAACATCCACCAGACCTGCTCCCAAACATCCACCAAACCTATTCCCAACAATCTACCAAACCTGCTCCCAAACATCCACCAAACCTGCTCCCAAACATCCACCAAACCTGTTCCCAACAATCCACTAAATCTGTTCTCAAACATCTACCAGACCTACTTTTAAACGTCCACCAAACCTACTCCCTAACATCCACCAAGCCTACCCCTTAAGCATCCACCAAACCTATTCCCAAAAATCCACTCAAACCTACTCCCAAACATCCACCCATACCTATTCCCAAACATCAACCAAACCTGCTCCCAAACATCCACTAAACCTATTCCCAACAATCCACCAAACCTGCTCCCAGACATCCACCAAACCTATTCCCAACAATCCACCAAACCTGCTCCCAAACATCCACCAAACCTATTCCCAACAATCCACCAAACCTGCTCCCAAACATCCACCAAACCTACTTTTAAACGTCCACCAAACCTACTCCCTTACATCCACCAAGCCTACCCCTTAAGCATTCACCAAACCTATTCCCTAAAATCCACTCAAACCTACTCCCAAACATCCACCCATACCTACTTCCAGCAATCCACCAAACCTACTCCCAAACATCCACCAAACCTACTCCCAACAATCCACCAAACCTACTCCCAAACATCCACCAAACCTACTCCCAACAATCCACCAAACCTACTCTCAAACATCCACCAAACCTACTCCCAACAATCCACCAAACCTACTCCCAAGCATCGACCAAACATACTCCCAGCAATCCGCCAAACCTACTCCCAAACATCCACCAAACCTACCCTCAAGCATCCACCCAAACCTATTCCCAAACATCCACCAAACCTACCCTAAAAGTTCTGTATGAACCACTTTGTTATCTTCTGTCTTAGCTGCAGTGTTGGCTGCTTGTTAGCCAGTGTGTTTCTGCAGTGAGTGATGCGGTTGTGCCCCCTGCAGGGTAACGGAGATGACGAGGCGGTGAAGGGGATTCTGACGGTGCCGGAGAATCGGATCCTGGTGAAGCGGATGCTGATAAAGTGTGCGGATATCTCCAACCCCTGCAGACCACTGGAGCTCTGCATCGAGTGGGCTGGACGTATCTCGGAGGAGTACTTTGCACAGGTGACGTATCTTTATAGAGCAGCTAAAAGACAGACTTACTTTAATCAAACATTATTATTACTATTACGACCGTTATTCATATTTATTCATTAATGTGTTTATTTATTCATTTTATTTTATTTATTTTCTTTTTGACACTGTGTGCAAAATATGCAGCAGCTATATGTGTGAAGGAGACTGTGTTTACCATGTGATTTTTTTTTTTAAGTTCTTATGTAAATTCTATTAGAATTAGTTAATGATATGACGTGAATGACTGCTCAGAAATTTGGAATCAGTGTCCTTAGACATGTTAAAGCAGTACGGTGGCAGATAAATATATTAAATGATTCTGATATGCCTGTCCTGTCCAACTTCACAGGTTTATATGCTTATAAATATTGATATTATGATTAAAATAATTAATAGAAGCCTGTAAATAAAAATGAAGGACTGTTAGATGTTAGAAATGTTAAGTGTTAGATGTCCAGAGTGATGAACAAAGCTGTAGAAGGTTTAATGAAGTTAAAATAGACTTAATTAGTAGTTACGTTAGTAAGTTAGTAGTTAGTAGGTCATATCTCACGGCAGATAAATTGATAGAATTTCAAAAAATAGATAATTAAAGAATATTATTTATTCTGTGTGTGTTAGACGGATGAGGAGAAGAGGCAGGGGTTGCCTGTGGTGATGCCTGTGTTTGATCGGAACACCTGCAGCATTCCCAAATCCCAGATTTCCTTCATCGATTACTTCATTACAGACATGTTTGACGCCTGGGACGGTAAACACACACAGACACACCACAGAGGCAGACTCAAGTTAGTGAATCTGACTCGCTCGGAACTGAACCACGACTCAGACTTGCCCTTAACTGACTTACATCTCAGACTGTTCCTAAACTGACTCGCAACTCTGACTCATCTTTAACTGACTCACATCTCTGACTTGTCCTTAACTGACTCGCAACTCAGACTCGCCCCTAACTGACTCAAGACTCGACTCGGACTCACCCTTATCTGACTTATGTCTCAGACTCGCACTTAACTGATTAACATCTCAGACTGATCCTTAACTGACTCACAACTCTGACTTGTCCTTAACTGACTCACAATTCAGACTCACCCTTAAATGACTCACGACTCGACTCAGACTCACCCTTATCTGACTTATGACTCAGACTTGCCTTTAACTGACTCATGACTCGCCTTTAATTGACTTACATCACAGACTCATCCTTAACTGACTCACAAATTGATGCAGACTCAAATAAAGTGACTTGTGAACATCTGGCATGGATGATTGATTGCTTGATTGATTGACTGATTGATTGATTTTTCTCTGCAGCGTTTGCAGATCTGCCGAATCTTATGCAGCATCTGGACAACAACTTTAAGTATTGGAAAGGCCTCGACGAGCGAAAACTACACACTCTACGGCCTCCACCGGAGTAACACACACACACACACTGCGCTGGTGAACACTATGGCCTACACACACACACATGCACACACACAGCACCACTGTGACTGACAGAGGCCTCAGAAACCCAGCTGTGCTTCAGCTCCCCCTTCTGGCCAAGAGCAGAACTTCAGGGAAGCCTCCATCCACCGGGAGCACGGCAGGCTGCGTCTGGCCTGACCGGCAGAGAGAGAGAGGAGAGAGAGAGACTTCCACAGGAAGAAAGTATCCACCGTGGTCCGGTTCCTCGATCCGGTTCCTCGTAAAGAAACACTAAGAACAACAACACACTCCATCCACACGTTCATTTGTTTATTTGTTTGTTGGTTTGCTGTCTGCAGGGCTGAGCGACAGATCTGGACTCTAAAGTTCTGCAGATCCACGAAACTCTACACACACTGCTATTTATTTCACTGTAGGTGTTTTTAACTAAAGGAGGACGATTTGCTAACGAACACAAACGAACGCAAGATGAGAAAAATGAAAAGCCAAAGTTGATGAACATTTATAAATTATAATCCTGAGTCTTGTCTGTATTTAATATCCATAGGTTTAAAACAAAAAAGAAGAAGCATTAATGTAAAATGTTTATTTTTTACTGAATGAAGTCTGAATCGTACAGAAGCACAGTCACGCCAGATAAAGGCAGAAACGATCAGCTGCTTTTTTCTCTGATTCTGGTAGCAGTATGTCAAACTTCTGAATATAATAATAAGAACTCACAATAATTACTTATTTTCTCAAAATATTGATTCAATATCTCACAATACTGAGTTAATTTCTCTAAATTTGATTCAGTATTTTGAAGTAATGGCTAATCTTCTAAGAATGTTGACTTAGGCTATGTTTACACAGCAGGTAAAAGTGGCCCAAATCTGATTTTATAACCAAATCCGATTTTTTTGTTTGGCTGTTCACATTATCTTTTAAATGTGACCTGTATGCGACATTAGTCTGAACAGATCACGCTTCTAAACCGGCCCGCATGCGCAAAAGAGCAGTGCTTCACGTGGCGGCTCGACCAGAGGTAAACAGTCATGACAGCTGGCGAACACCAGTCGCTTCCGCAGCTTTCAGTTTCGTCTTCGCCAGCATCACAGGAGTGATTATAAAGTTCCAGTGGTTGACAGCTGGGTTCATCACCCACAATGTGTTCGAGTTCGCCGTAAAAAAGGCACGTTATTCGGCCACGGCCAGTTCTTTGGTTCGTGTCTTCCGATTCTTTACATTTTTTTGACGGTGCAGCCTCGGTCTCCTCCGGCCGCGTTCGGCCGTTTCGTTCGAAACCTCTTCGAGCACGGAGCGGCTGCGCTAAGTCTCTTCTAATTTTTTTAGTACAGAAACATCAGCCTAAATGTTTATGAGTCTCAGCAGCACGAAATTATGACGAATGTCGATTTGGACTGACGTAAAAGTCGCATGATTTCCGGTCTGGCTGTTCAGACTGAGTCGCATTGCCGCAGATCGGATACGTATCGGATTTCAGTACCACATATGAAAGCGTCTCAAATCGGAATTGAAAATGTCAGATTCAGTGCGTTTTTTTGCTGTTCAGACTGCCACACAGATAACACATCTGCGTCACATATGAAGAAAAAGATCGGATTTGGGCCACTTTTACCTGCTGTGTAAACGCAGCCTTAGTAACTTAAAAGAAGGACTCATTGAATTTCAATTTATTTGACTTAATGTTTTTAAAAAATTACTAATGTTCTCAAACTATTGACTTAGAAACTCAAAATAATGACTAAGGATCTCAGAATGTTGACTTAGTATCTTGAAAAAAATTACTATTTTGACAAAATTTTGGAACAGAAGTCATCATTTTGAGAATTTAGGTCAAAATTTTGAGATTGTAAGTCATTATTTTGAGATTTTAAATCACATTTTTGAGAATGTGAGTGATTTGGAAATTTTAAATCAAAATTTTGAGAACATAAGTCATTATTTTGAGATTTTAAGTTAAAATTTTGAGAATGCAAGTCATCATTTTGTGATATTAATCAGATGTTTGGTATGCTGCAGTCAGAAACAGCTGAGGGATAATAAAGCCATTCGTGTTTCTGCTCTGCGTGTGTGAACGTTCTTCTGTAGAATCTTCCTGTTGCACTGTAGAGGAGAAGTGTGGCATGTATGGGAAGTGGGCGGGGCTAAGTGGTTGTGTGTGTGTGTGTGTGTGCGTGCGCGTGTGTGTGTGTGTGTGTGTGTGTGTGTGTGAACTCTACACAGCATGGCTTTCAATACGAGAAAAAATCTGTGAAAAAAAACTAAGTTTTGGACTTGAAGGACATTTTTTCCTCCCGGAGGTGTTTTGTATCTGGTTTATCCTACTGACAGACTGCCTTATTTTCTACAATATTTATACAGCTCACCCACTGTCGACCCGCAGAGGACATCTGGAGTTTTTAATAACACAGTCAGAAAGTCACCTTAAAGTAAATCTCCATATTTTTGTATAGACTGATGACTTTTACACTGGAACAAACACAGAGAGCAGAGGAAACTGATCCGTCTGTGGACTGAAGCGTTGGGCGCAGCGCTGTGTTTTCTGCGGAGTATACAGCAGCGCTCTGAACCGGTGGGACGCTCCCGTGTTACCTGTGTGGGTTCGGTGCATGTTTGCGCTCACCTGTGCGGACTCCTGAGTCCACACCTGGCTGCAGAGCGACATTCTGGAACGTTAGGAAGACCTTTCCCAAACCCGCCGCCGATTCTGTCCTTAAACACCCGCCAGGATTTACTCTCTCAATCAGGGTTCGTTTTTTATTCTGATTCGATACTACAGCACAGAGAAAAGAATAAATACTTAGAGAGAATAATATTGAAATTGATAATAAATAACGACAATGTGTATTTCGATGTGTGTGTGGTGGCGTTCTGCACTTTGATGGTCTGTGGATCTGATCACTGTGACAATATGGGGGTAATTGATTCAGTCTGATTCTGATTCTTTAGGAATCAATTCGGTACATCAAGAATTCTTACATTCCACCACGATTCAATTTGATTCTGATTCTTTAGGAATCAATTCAATGTATCATGAATTGTCACATTCCACCACAGCTCACTTCATTTTGATTCTGATTCTTCAGGAGTCGATTTACTGTATGACAAAATCTTTCATTTCACTTTGATTTGATTTGAATCTGATTCTTTAGAAAACAGTTCAGTGCATTCTAAAATCTCACATTTTACCACAATTCAATTCAGTTTGGATCTTTTATTGATCGAAATCGTTGGAGGAACTATTTAAAAAGTAGTGGAATATAAACAATACACTGTCACTGGGGTGGAACCCTCAAGGGTACATCTCAGTACCTTTAGTCAGGGAACATAACTGTTCCATAATCCATTGAAATTATATTTTCTAAGCTGTACTGACTCCACACACCCCGTCTCGTCTCCAGGCTTTTTATTTTACTGTTCTGTTTTAAAACATTGTTATGAAAAGGTACAAATACGAACCTTTCACCTGGAAAAACTTATTTAAGATTCATAATTGGACCTTAAAACCACTGTTATACCTTTGAGGGAACACTTACATTGTTTGTACCTTGATGAACGAAAAATGTACCTGCACAGAACCTTTATTTCTAACAGTGTAGAAACAACTCAGCAACATTTTTGTATTTTTATATTTAAAAAAAAAACAAATGAAATCTTTATTTTGGATAAAATGAGTGCCTACTATATTATAACAATATAGAATATTACTGTATTTATTTAGACTTCGTTACTCCGTTAGCGCTGCTCTAAATGTGAAAATACTGTTTAAAAGTAGTATAACAGTGCAAGGATCTGATCTGAAATCAGAATCTGTGTCATATGTTGTTGTTTACGCTGGAATAGTAGAGTCAAATCAGATTAACCCAGTGATATTTATAAAAACTGACAAAAATGTGTTAGCATAACTAAAAGCATCAGCAGCCATCTTGAAACAAGCCATCTTGTTTATAGATAACAGTGAGTCATACTTTGTCAAGACATGATGAAACTGAGCATCTCCACACAGTTTGAGGAGAGTCTGTGATGGCTTAAGTATGCAGTTAGCACCATGCTAATTGGTGATGCTAACAGTCTTCATTTGCACAGAGCCAAAGACTTTGTGGAATCAGCACTATTTACCATCTCACGCTTTATTTTCCTTCATAACTTTATGTTTCACTAATACAGTCTACTTATGGTTATTTCATATTTAACCCATTCATGTCTAACAGTTAAACTTAGTATGATATTTTCTCACTGTGTGAGCTCATCGCTTTGTCAGTAAAGTATCTTTGAGACGGGACGTGTGCAACATAGCACGAAAGCCCTGTTTCGCAACGACTGAGAACCGGCGTGCGGACTGCAGGTCACATAGCAACGATGCGTTATTCGCATTTATTGGTACGTTAAATCTGCAACGAGAGACTGTCACACACTAAAAAGTGGCGAAGCTAAAGTCAGTTTCTCTTTCGAATTCTCCCGTTCCACCTTAAATGGTGCTGCATTTACATTCGGCGCCTCAGTCAGAATTTAAGGTGGAACCGGTAAATTCGAACAAGAAGCTGGAGAATAAGAAGCGACTTCAGCCTCGTAAAACAGTCGAACGTTGATATTTATATATCGTTTATATTGTTTAGCCTATACTAGGACATTATCACATACTGAGACATACTGGACATTAAATGTTGCGGCTCCCAAGGTGTTTTGATTTTTGTTGAAAGGACAAAATGTCAGAGGGAGCCGGTTGGATTTCTCGCTCATCCAGTTGTGTTTTTGTTATGTGCCGCCACAGACTGTCCGGGCGCTGCACTTCCGCACTTCCAAGTTCCGCCTTTTGCGTTCCGTCAACATCACATTATAAATTAAATATTTAGAAAATCGATTTTTGACATTTGTGAATTGATTCAGAATCGTTCACGTCCGCATCGCGATGCATCTAAGAATCGATTTCTTCCCGCACCCCTAATCTGATCTGTCTAACATAGGGTCACCAGACGTCCCTGTTTTTAACCGTAGCCTGTCCCCGGCTGGAGCAGTCCCCGGAAATGTCCCCGTTTTTAAATGTGAACTAAAAACACCAGAAAGTCCTGCAGCAGAGCAAACAGGCAGATATGCCGCGCTGTGCTTATTTTGGCCAGCAGAGGGGGCTGCTGCTGCTCTCTACTGAACACTTCTACCGCTCGCTCACCTAGTTTTAGAGAGCACCAGAGAACTTGTAGAGAGGAGAATTCCCACTCTGTAATGTCTTCTGGGTTTCTCAAACACTAGAGGGCGCTCCCGGATGAGTCCAAAATTAATGAGTTAATATGGAGCATTTGAGCAAAATGAATGTAGCACCATGAGATCAACAAACAGTGCATGATAAACTGCGTCACCTTTTCAGCCTCCATATGTGACGTATGGCTTATGCTGATAGCAGCATCTCTGTCTGTCCAGAGCTGGAGCTGCCCAGGGGTGAGTTAAGGGTCTGGATATTGGGCTATAGCCACGGGTCTCTTTTTACTGCCAAAATATTTAATATGAATATGAATTATGGGCTCATACAGCCACTGAATCTTTTATGGTAAACATATCTCTGCCTCATCTCTCCCTGACTTAGGCCGTGTTCAGACTGCTGGCCCAAATCTGATTTTTTCATATTCCAGATCGTATCCAGATTGATTTCTGATAGTCTGGACAGCAAAAAACACATGAAATCTGATTTTTGCAAATATGATCCAAACCACATTTGGAGGTAGTTTGAAATGCGACTCCACTCAAATTTTTACAGATGTGTCTCAGTCTGGACGCTCAACAACGATGTCAAATCCAGAGTGATGAAGGGCTGGGACTCAAGAAGAGCTCCAAAGATTCATGATTATGAAGAGAATTCTGAAGAGTTTCGAGGGCGAGATGATGCTCCTCCATCTCTCCTGCATCCGCGTTTGAAATCCGCGTCACCAGCGTAGCTTCGTAGTTACTGACGCCTACGTCGTTACCATGGTAACCCATGCACATAGACCGGTGATGTCTGGACACACAAATCTGATCTGATTATCAAAAGAACTGATTCGAGAAACAAACACAATCAGCCTGCAGTCTGAAGACAGCCTTAATGACTTTCGAGACTCTTTTTATTGAGCAACTTTATTTCTAAAAAGCAACGAGGGACAAATCTCACAAAAATATGAACCTTTAATAGGACTGTTGTAATTTATTCTTATACATGCTGATCATTTTCTGTATTGAGTGTTCCACAGTTTACCAGCTTCACTCTTCATGGAAGCTACTGTTAGTTAGTTAGTAGTTAATATCCAATTTTATCATTTGGCCAAAATACAGAAAAAAGGAAATCTCTTTTTCATTATTATAGATACAAATATTAGATATGTTAGCTAATGATATATTGACCACCGAACTGAATTTTCAATTAAGACATTTGGTCACTTTAGTCTAAAATAATGAAATTTACTGCCCTGCTGAAAATTCCCTTAGGAACCATTAAGTGTGTTTGTTGGTTCGTGGTGGTTTCGTAAAGTTTTTTGTCTTTTTTAATGGGTTGATATCACAGTGTAAACAGTGCACAGTTTTTTTTCACCTTTTTAATGATTGCTTAGAAGTTTTCTGGAATGAACGTCAGAGTTCAGAGTTCAGAGTTTTCCTCTCAGTAATGGACGAATCAGAATAGATTTTTTTCTGGTTGAACGACGTTTTTAAACGAGTCAAGTGAATCGATTCATAAGCACGAGAGAACCAAAGCTCAGCTCAGGGCTGCTTCTGCTCCACTTTCTCTTCCAGTTGTATAACTGCTGATGGGTCAGAGAGGAAAAGCTCAGGCCTGCACTGACCGGGACTAAAATCTTTATTCCCTCATATAGAAACTGACCAGGCCGGTCTCTGCTGCTGGCCGGGTCCCAAAAATAACAGTCAGATATACTGTACGAGTTAATGTAAAATAACCTATTCTGAAATATATACATTTTAAAATAACTGATATTTGATTGTAGTGATTATCTTCAGTCATTTCAAAGCAACCAATCAATTATAGCTCCAAAAAAAAAAAACATTCATTCACAAAAACTACAGACAATGATGTGATACAGTGGTACTGTAATATTAGAAGTATACTCTTAAAAAGATGCTTCTTGAAGTGTTCTTTAGTAAAGAGAATGGTTCGGTTTAGAACCATGAGTTCAATACAGAACCATTTTCATGCTTAAATGGTTCTCTACATGGTGAAATGGTTCTTCAGATTGGTGGAGAATGTGTTGTATATGGTTCTATATAGCATCATAAAGGGTTCTGCTTTTATTATGATGTCAAGCTTGTTATAAGAGAAGCACCTTTACCAATATCTAGAGCCTTTTTGATGCTACACTGAATCATGTATAATAAATTCTTCATCAATCTAAAGAACCATTTCACCATGCAGAGAACCACTGAAGCATGCAAATGGTACTAAATATAGCCATTCCCTTTACTAAAGAACGCTTCAAGAACCATCTTTTTTAAGAGTGTAGAAGCTCATCAATAATATAAAGTGCAGAGTGGGGTGACTGTGTAATAATAGTAATAATAATAATAATAATAATAGAACATGTTTCCTGTGAGCATGCACAAATGAAAAAGTAAAAAAAGTACACCCTGCTAGAAAACAGCATAGACCAGCATATGTCTTGTGTTTTGATGCTGGTATGCTGGTCAACCATCATGACCATGCTGGGGTGACTGGATAAATCAGCACCAGACCAACATAAACCAGCTTAGACCAACAAGTTGGTTTGCTAGTTTGTGCTTTTTCAGCAGAGTATATAGATACAAAGATAGATATACAAAGATATAAGACGATCAGACTTAACGGGTGCTTGCACACCTTCACTAAATCCAGAAATAAG